TGTATTACACCACTTGATGGGTGCTGTGAAATTTATTACACCACTTGATGGGTGCTGTGAAAATGTAATCACTGAATTATCTAGTTAGTTCTGCAATGACAGCAAGTACTGTAGATAGTGACTCCTAATTGCTCCCATGCCTGCCTGCCTGATCGCCCCTAATGCCCCCCCCTGCCAGCCTGATCACCCCTAACAGTCTCTGCCTGCCGGCCTGATTTACCCTAACTCCCCCCCACCTCGCCAGCCTGGTTGCCCCTAACTGCCCCCCCCCCTCCTGCTGGCCTGGTTGTCCCTAATTGCCAACCCTGCCAGCCTGATCACCCCTAACCATCTCAGCCTGCTGACCTGATCACTCCTAACTGATCCCCCTGCCAGCCTGGTCATCCCTAACTACTCCCCCGACTAGCCTGGTCACCCTCAACTGACACCCCTGACAGCCTGGTCATCCCACACAGCCTGTTGTTCAGTCATTTGGTCATCCTTCACTAACCCCCCTGCTGGCCTGGTCGCCCCACTTAGCCTGCTATTCGATTGTCCGTCTGATTGTTTAGGTCATGACAGCCCCTGGCTTTTTATATATTAACCGGAAATCAAACCATGATGTTCTGGTTCATGAGTTTATGCTCAACTACTGAGCCACACTAGCTGGGTGATTAAGTTATTTTGTATGTATGTGTTTTTAAATTTTACTTATACAGTAGATAATAAATCAATCATATTTTACAACTATGTTTCTAAATTATATTTGTAAGCATAACTAGGATACTTTATTACATGTACATAAATTATGTAATTTAAACTAAAAATATTTAGGACTTAGAGGGCCAAGTGATATTATAAGGAATTCCTCATTCTTATATACTTACACTAACTTGGTAGAAGACAATTTTACCTTAAACCTATAATATATAATATGCCAGAAATTAGAAATTTGTTAAGTTCTTTAATTAGCGTAAAGTACTCTTTAAGCACCACAATGTCACACAGAAACTGGAAATGTCATCTGTTGCTATACTTCTGGCAGGCTGTACCTCAGTCATGCCTGATAGGAAATGATGCTTCTGTGCTTAAAGATTTCCAGGGGAGAGATTATGTAGCTGTATTTGGCAAGTGTTTCCACTATAATACCACTGTGAAACTTTCTGGAAAGTCTTGTTTAATGTTTTTTCCAAATCACTAATGATATTGGGAGCGCTCAATGATGTTCTCTAATGAAGAGAAAATTTCTCACAGATAATAGTGTCGCATCATCCCCTGGGTTTTTCCTTTACCCTGCAGTTAAACATCCCGGCTGAGAAATTAGCAGCTGCAAAGCACTGGCAGGCAGGCTCTGGGAAGGTCTCAGGGGACAGAGCTGGTGAAACCACTGTTCTCTTCACCCTTTCACACCTCCCCAAATTTCATTCAGAAACGAGATGGAAGGGAATGCTTAACTGGAAAAAAAAACAACAACATTTTTTTAGCCACTTCAAATCCTTTGTAGAAACAAGTGGAATATATACAAATCTAAATAAATAAAAATGATCTTTATCTAAAATATGTTTTGTGGTAGATTCTTCAGTAAATGTTGCTGAGCAAATAAGGAATAGAACTTTCTAACTTAGGTTTGCTACAAAAAGCCATAAATCAGCAAATATTTACTGAATTCCTATGTGCAAAGCAACTTTGGTAGATCCTGTGGGAACTAAAAACAATTCCCAATAAATTTTATTTATTTCATTTTTAAAGAGAAGATGGGGAGAGAAACATTGATTTGTTGTCTACTTATTCGGGCACTCATTGGTTGATTCTTTTGTTTTTCATTGGTTGATTTTTATATGTGCCTTGCCTGGGGATCAAACCCACAACCTTGGCATATCAGGACTGCACTTCAGCCAACTGACCTGTCCAGCCAAGACAAAGCAATCCCCATTTTTAAAGTTTTCCATTATTCTTGGGTGAGTGTATGTGTGTGTGTGTGTGCGCGCGCGCGTGTGTGTAAACCACTAATTGGCATTACAATACAGAATTGCTAAATGTCTATACATAAAATAAGCATAAACCTTTGATGAAATTAAAATGAATTCGGAAGGAGGCATAGAAAGAATTGAGGCAGAGTGGAATCTTAAAGAGAGAGCAGGATTTTAATGGCAAATCTAAACACGAGGATTCAGAAAATGACATAATGCAAGCTTACCTAGGATACAGGTGGTTTGCTTGCAGGACCGTGAGAGCCTTAATAACAAGGAAGACTCCTATCAGAGATAAGGTCGGGAAGATTCAGGGGGGTTTTGAATGCCAGTCTTGGACTGTTTTGTGCAGTAGCAGAATGCCCTAGAAGTTGTCATTCAGGGAAGCAATGTATTAAAGTGGTATCTCAGGAAGAGAACATGCTGGCGATTAGAAAGGGAAGGCCGCTGTGTTCACTGAGCACTTCTGTGGGCGCGATGGTGGGTGCTTCACAGAAGCCTGAGCCATTGGCGGTGCCCATCAGGATAAAAACTAAGAACTTGAGTTGTGATGGTAACACAGAGTAGAAGTAAAGAACAGATCTGAGAGTCATTGCAAAGGAAGGGTCTATTTAGGAAGAGTCTATTTAGGAGCGTTGCAGAACAAGTGAGACTACACTTAACCTAAGCCACCAGGCAGGAGTGTGGGCGGAGTGAAATCTGAGTGGCAGGATGAGAAGTAGGTTTTAGAGACAGTGCAGGAAGTTTGATGTTGGGCATCAAGTTTAAGTGTAAGACTGAACCTTTGGGAAGTACATCAGAAATAAAGATAAATGTGTTCAGTTTTCAGTAAATGTGTTATTTTTTATATTCTAGAATACCTAATAAGCACACAAATTCATAGTCCTTCACTCACTCATTTAGCAATTGCCTGCCATCCAGGGGAGGGCACAGAGCTCACACTGGAAGCAAAGGTTCTGTTTTCAGTCCTGACTCTACACTGACTAGCTGCATGACTCTAGACAACTACTTCACTTTGTTTTTATATGTCTCTGCCTTTAAATTTTCTCATGTGAGAATGGAGTCCCATAGTGTTATCATAAAAACCAAATGAGCTTATTTAAATAAAGCACCTAGGATAGTGTCTGGCATGTTGGAAGCACATGGAAGTGTTTGCTGTTAACACCACCATCACCATCCTCATCCTCATCATCATCTGCATCATTACTTGCCCAGCTCTGCTGAGAACCAGACCTTAAAGGGAACCACAAGGAATGATCCAGTTGCTCACCATCCAGGAGTGACAGAGTTTGACACACAAGAGAATAGTATTTACACAGATTAAAAAGTAACGTAGGCTTACCCTAGCCATTTTGGCTCAGTGCATAGAGCGTCAGCCTGTGGACTGAAGGGCCCTAGGTTCAGTTTGGGTCAAAAGCACATGCCTGAGTTGCTGGCTTGATCCCCAGTAGGAGGCATGCAGGAGGCAGCTAATCAATGATTTTCATCACTGATGTTTCTATCTCTCCCTCTTCCATTCTCTCTGAGATCAATCAAAATATATTTTTTAAAGTAACTTAGGCTTAATAATGTGTATTTTTGTGATTTTAAATTTTTTGAAAAATTATTACTAATACTATTTATTAGAAATTATTACTGTCATTCAGGTAAATTGTCATGGATATATAAGTGAATAATAATTCAGACATCAAATTATGCAGTAGGTGTTTTCTATAAACTGGATGTTGGCCGACTTTATAAATTTGATCATTGTTTCAGCTTCATCTCAGTAGTACTCAAAGGTTATTTCTCATCAGCACTAATGTGGAAAACATTTACCTTTAATTGCATTTTACCCAGAAGACTTGTCACTTCAGTCATTTTGAGCTTTTTTTTTTTCTTTTTCTTTTTTTTTATCTTGGGAATTTTAAGCTATGTAAGGTAAAATGAGCTGTGTCCCTTTTAGTCTATGTTTACTACCATGTACCTTGCACTTGGCCTGAAGAATGTTCGGTAACTTCTTGTGTGGAATTGATTTGTAGACGTTATTATTTTCTCTCTCCTATGTATTTATACCAGATTGCTTTCTGATTTTAATAACTATTCACTTAGCTATACGACACCTGAGAGACCAGGTTTTTAAGCTGTTTATGTAGCTCCTTTGGAAAAATCAAAGCTGAAGTTATTTTGGAAGTGTTAATCTGTTGATTTTTTTTAAAGAACAAGTAAGGTCAAAGGATGAAAAACTGAATCCTGAATAATTATTTTAGTACGGAAGACATTGAGTTGATCTTTTTTTTTTTTTTTAAGTTATTTTTAAGACTACATTGTATCTACTTCTAACCTGGGATTCTTCAAATTATTTTTGGCCAAAAACAATATAATGCATTTATGTTGAATAGAAAAAAAGTCTGTGCATAAGAAAATTCCAGCTAATAAAACATAAGAGATATGAATGTATAAAATATGCAGCCCAAACACTAGTCCTGAATGTACCACACTGAAATGACTGTGGAGTGATTAACATTACCAGTTTTCCCAGAGTTGAGCTCCTCTAAGAAGCACTGTATATCACAGTAGTTTATGAGTAGTTATAGTAATGAATATGAATGTGCTTTCATTTAATGCCACATAATAGTCAAGATAATATTAAGACACTGTGGTACTGTTAATATACTAGTATATATATATTCATGTACATAGGTGGGGTAGAGGGGTCCTGTGGCGAAGTATAACATAAAATGTATTGTTTTAACCATTTTAAAATTGTGATAAAATAACAAAGTTATCTGCTTAACCATTTTAAAGTGTACAATTCAATAGTGTTAAGTGTATTCACATTACTGTATAATCAATCTCCAGAATATATGTGCACTTTATAAAGAAATTAATGAGTCCTTTAGATATGGTCTATTACTAAGAAAAGTTATTTTACACACAGAAACATGAACATGCATCTCACTAATAAGGATTCTATTTGTTCATTTTTTTAAAAACAATCTCTCCATCCCTCCCTCCCTCCTTCCTCCTTTTCTCCCTCCCTACTTCCTCCCTCCTTCCCTACATTAATAGGAGTGAGCTGAGTCGGCAGAAACTTCATACCCAAGAGCTGCTTTCTCAGCTGGAAATGGCAAATGAAAAGGTAGTGGAGGTAAGATAATGACTCCCCCGGGAGGTCCTTCTGCTGCAGCCTGATACACATGTTAGAGAGTTTTACTGGAGCCAAGTCCAAATTAATTCTCTACTTGGAAATGACCGTACAGATGTGCGCATTTCTTGTAGAAATCATCCATAACCCAGAAGTCCTCAGGTGATGCCATGTGAGTAAAAGCCTGGAGTCAGTGATCCCTCATGTGCACATGACAGATGCGGGGCTGGTCCGGTCTCAGAGACTGCTAGGACCCTCGGAGGTCTGTGCATGTCTGAGATTATTTTTTAACCTGCTCCTTTTGTTTACTTTTCATCCATCACAAGAGATGTGTAGAAAATACTTTGGCCTCCTGGAATATATTAAAATACTCCTGCAGATGATTTGAGAGCTAACTAGAGCAAGAGTGCAGGTTTTTTTCCTTGAAGTGTTAAAAAAAAAAAGGAAGCAATTTCTAGATTATGACTAGGGCATTCTGGAACTCTAGTTCTCCTTTTGATGTCCCAACTTTGAATGTATTTGCTGGAATTTCTTTTACAGGCTGCCTGGCCCACCGTCTCTTTGTGGGTCGCTATAGCTGCCAGAGTGAAATCATTGCTCTTAAGTTTTGTAGCATTGTAAATTGATATGAACCATTTAGAAAACAATTTCACCCTAGCCATTAAAGTACTCTTCGGTATAGTTCCCACTTCCAGGAATCTGGTCTAAGGGGGGTTATTTAAAATGGGGAAAAATTTAAAGGAAGATAATCAACACAGTAATGTTAATAATATCGGAAGAGCAGAAGCAACCACAATGAACCGTTGAAAAAGAACAATTGCCTACATATTATGATTTATGTAATCTGGACTGTGCCTTGACCATTATTATGACAGCATAGCAAAATATGTATGTTATGTGCAGTCTGATAGTTATTATACTATGAAAATGATTATTATAGATGATGGCATTTTTTTCCCCGGGTTTGCTCTAGTTTTAAAATGTGCCTCTTAAATTTAAGACTGCGTCTTTAAACAATTTTGTAAATTGGAATAGCCAGTATAGTTCTCATCATAAAATTTAATTTTTCTTTGGGGCACACTGAGAAATATAATAAGCTCATTTTAACAGCATACTGTTATTTCAATATTTTATGTTACTAGGCATGACAGGCCCCGTAATCACTTGTGTGTTAAGACATGGGAACTATATTGTTCTTCATAGAAAGCGTGTTTTTCTTTCCATTCCTGATTAGGCTGGTTACTCTCTTAATTCCCACAAGTGCCAGAAAAACTGAATAACAATACCAGTTGTACAAAAACATTTTGTTCAGGCGAGTAAGTATGGGAGGTCTGGTGCGTTTCTTAACTCACAGCTTCTTTGAGCCGGTGCGTGGCGGCGTGTGGTGTCAGATTTATGTTCGTGAAGCTGTGAGCTTCCTGAGGCTGGGCTGCCAGGTCACCACTGGGAAGTGCGGTCTCGGCCCCTGGAGGGCAGAGGTCCTGGTCAGGAGGTCGGCAGGGTTGGTTCCTCTTGGGCTCAGAGGAGGATCGGTCCAGGCCTGTCTCCCAGCTTCCAGCAGCCTCAGGTGTTCCTCCATCCGTAGATGGTGTTTTCCCTGAGTCTTCCTATGGTCTTCCCTTTGCACATGTCTGTCTGTCCAAATTCCCCCTTTTTATAAAGACACAAGTTATATTTGATTAAGGCCAAGCCTAGTAATATCATTCTAACATATAGCAAAAACCGTATTTCCAAATGAAGACATTTATAGGTACGGGGGGGGGGGGGGTTAGGACTTCAATATATATGTAGGGGCATAATTCAACCCATAACAATCTATAATAATAAAAGCATAATATGCAAATGGACCTAACAACCAAACAGCAGAACGACCGTTCAGACGACCACGCTATGATACGCACTGGCGCCAGGCCAGCCAAGGCGGATGCTATGCCATCACGCCATGACCGCCCTGCAGAGGGAGGCCCAGGCCACTGACTGATGGGCTGTGGTGGGTGGGCAGGGTCTACCTCTTCGGGGGATTCGATCTCAGGGCTCCCGGACTGTGAGAGGGTGCAGGCCGGGCTGAGGGACACCCTTCCCGCCACCCTCTGAGAGCACTAATTCCGTGCACCAGGCCTCTAGTTTCTTAATAACTCTGTTGACCCTAATACCTTGTGGCGAACACAGCTGTTTGGGGAACTTGCAGAAACAGACTTCATCACCTTTTAAAAAACACCTTTAGCATAGAAGTCATTTAAGGCACTGTAAAAACCAGGATTTCTAGAATGAAAATTTTTTGTTTCTTGAATGTTAATAATGACGATGTCCCATTTTCCCTAGAAGTTGGTCCTAGCACAGTGGCTCTGAGGACACCAGCAGGCAGTGCCAGCGCCCGCGGGGAACAGGGTAGACACAAGGGTTCTCAGTTGGGAGCGGGTCCAGGTGGGAGGCCCGGCAGTCTGTGTTTTCACGCTCTCCACGTTGGAAGCACTGAGCTAGCATCTCACGGTTAACAGGTCAGAAATTGAAAATCCTGTTCTCAACTTCTGATTCTCTTTGCTTTGCACTTAATCCACATTTTTGTTGGCATGGAGGGGTAAAATGGTTGAGTGGGGCTGTACAACCAGCTTTGAATTTCATAACTTGAAACATGCACATTTTGAGACACTCTGCATTTTTTAGTGGTCAGATGACATCCAGATTTCCCATTGATTATTCCACAAACGCCTCCTTGTCACGCGTGGATCTCTAACCCATTCGTTTTACGCTTCCTCTTCCAGAGTGAAAAGTTAATTCTCGAGCATCAAGAAAAAGCCAACAGACTCCAGAGGCGGCTCAGTCAGGCGGAGCAGAGAGCCGCGTCCGCTTCTCAGCAGGTAGGGGCTCCGCGCCGTCCCTGACGGGAACTGCCCGAGTGGGTCACGCTAAGAAAGGCTCCTCAGAATCCCCGGAGAACTAGGAGGGTTATTTTTACCTGATTAAATTTGAAATTAGTCTCTGTTATTTGGGGTTGAAAGTAAACTTTAAAGACAGAAATAAACATCAGTCTCTGCAGTTGACTCCCACCTCTGGAACCACTGTCCACTCACAGACACTAGCCACCAGCAGCTGCTCCAACTAATTAAAAGTAAATAAACTAAAATAAATCTGCAGTCAGACTAGCAGATTCCAGGTGCTCAATGACCACACGTCACATCAGACAGCAGGACATGACGGGGAGCCGCTCTGTCCCAGGAAGTCCGAGGGACGCCCTGCCCCAGAGGCTGTGCGTGTGAACTGGCAGGAGTTTCCTGACGGAGTCGGAAGTAAGCAGCATTGCTCTGAAAGCACTGTTTCAGTTGCACTTTTTTTAATGGAAAAAAAATACTTTGTGTATAGGTTAACTCCATTTAATGCACATTTGTATACGACTATAAATCTAAAATATGATATAAAGTCCAGTGGGAAATAGAGTTTGAAAATGCATCCGTGAAATATTGATATGGGGGTAATTATCCATAATGCACACACATCATTAGGAAATGGGCCATTTGTTCTGCAATAAGAGCAATAGTCTCTCCTTTTGAGAACAAAATGAGATCAGTTTAGTGAATATAAAGATAGGCTGGAAACAGTTCAGAGAGATAGATAGACAGGCAGGCAGATAGATGGACAATCAGATAGATAGGTATGGATAGGCAGGCAGACAAAAACAAAGTTAAAACATTAATAGTTATATTTGGATATAAGCCTACTATTTTAATTAAAATTAATATTACCCAGATATTACACCATTTTATACATAGTAAAGCAACTCTGAATACTGAATTCAGTTTGTGTTTGTGATATTTACAGATTTTCTTTTTAAGTCTACTTCTGGTATGACCATGAGGCGACACTTAACTGAAATCCAGCCATAATTTGCCTTTCTCCTTCTGTCCCCTCCCTCTTGAAAGTAATTATAGCTTTATGAAATGTTTAATTACTTATGGAATAATGAAGTAACTGATTACTTAATTACTCAAGAATTCCTCCATCGTGTGGATTATAGAGTAGTAGGAGCGAGGGTGGGCTGGGCAGTGTCCGGAGCGTATGTTTGGTGTGGACAGATAGCCTGCTGTCCCTTGGCAGCCTTGTGACTCAGGGCTGCTTCCATCTCTCTGTGCCTCACGCTCTTACTCAGCGTAAGATAAGAATGCCTCCCTTAGGCCGAAACCGGTTTGGCTCAGTGGATAGAGCGTCGGTCTGGGGACTGAAAGGTCCCAGGTTTGATTCCGGTCGAGGGCATGTACATTGGTTGCGGGCACATCCCCAGTAGGGGGTGTGCAAGAGGCAGTTGGTCGATGTTTCTCTCTCATCGACGTTTCTAGCTCTCTATCCCTCTCCCTTCCTCTTTGTGGAAAATTAATAAAATATATTTTTTAAAACACACACACACACAAAAAAACCGCCTCCATTAGAGTTATTGAAAGGTGAAGGGAATTCACAAATACAAAGCACTTAGTCATTAAATGGTAAGTAGAGAGATATATAAGAAATTAAATTTTTTACATCACAATCCTTAAAGCTTGGAGTTCGCCTTTTTAAGGAATATGGTAAAGAAAATGCCTACTTAAAACCATCTAGCTTGAGTCCCGTAGTGAAAAGGGAGCAGTTACAGAACTTCACTGTAGCGTCCCCGTGACATCTGGCTGCATCTCCCTCCAGACAGTTAAGCCTGAGCAGCCTCCTGCTAAACTCCATGGCAAAGTTGCCCCCATTCTCTTTGTGAACTTTTTTTTTTTTTTAATGTTTTTTCAGTAAATCACAATTTTTTCCTTAAGCTTTTCTTCTCCTATTTTGTTCTTCTTTAAAGACGGAAAGTAACCATTCAGCCTTCTCCCCATACACAAGAAGGAATTTATCCCCTGGAGTTAATGTTTTTTCCACCTTAAGTGAGTCCAAGTTATAAACTTTGTTTATGAGACATATATTCAGTTTTTTTAACCTTCACCTTTGCCTTCTCTGAATTCTTTCTAATTAACTTTTTTCATTTTCCTCCAAAAAAATTGAAACTGCTAATAGAAGTGGTACCTGCGAAGGGCCTGATATTTAATGCAGCGATGGCACTGAGAGACCCTTGTTGTCTTACTCAGCAGAGCAGCCCAGCACGGTGCTGGGGCCAGGGAGAGCCCCTCAGTCCTGACTCGGCGGTCCTGCCCCCACCCCTCCTGGGTCCTGTCTCCACGCCCCCCAGCCAATACTGTGGCCCGGGTTCTAAGTCACATGCGCCATGACTGCCGTGTCTTAGAAATCAGGGCGGTGCGGCCTTTCTCTGCAAGAACACAAACCTAGAAACTAAGAAGATCAATAAATGTCGATGTCAGATTTCAAATTCCTACATTTAAAAAGTGTCATGGCCGGGACTGGTTTGGCTCAGTGGATAGAGCGTCGGCTTGGGGACTGAAGGGCCCTGGGTTCGATTCCGATCAAGGGCATGTACCTTGGTTGCGGGCACATCCCCAGTAGGGGGTGTGCAAGAGGCAGCTGATCGATGACTCTCTCTCATTGATGTTTCTAACTCTCTCTCTCCCTTCCTCTCTGTACAAAAATCAATAAAATATATTAAAAAATAAAAATGAATAAATAAATAAAAAATGTCATGAAGTCAATGACGGACTGAGGAAAGTATGAGCAACAAGTGTATGACCAAGAGGCTAATGTCGTGAATGCATACAAAGAGTGGCTACGTCAACAACGCAGTGCTGCGGTTCACGCATCATTGGTGCCAATGGCGGTTGGTGCGGTGAGCCGGTTCGGCAGGACCTCTCCCAGGCTGTAGATGTAATGACCCAGGACCCAGCATTCCTAAGAACTTATTCTGCAGGTGGCTCCTTGCCCCTGGGCACAGCTGTACATGGAAGCATGAAAAATCCTAATTGCAGCGTTGCTTATCCTTTTAAAATATTAAAAATATCTAAATGTCCATCAACAGAAAACCAGCTAAATTACGGAATGTCCAGGCAGGGGAAAGTTAGCATCTGTTAAGGAATAAAATAGATCTAATATGAAACCATTTTGCCTCAGCTGGTTTGACTCAGTGGATAGAGCATTGGCCTACAGACTGAAGGATCCCAGGTTCAATATCAGTCCCGGGCATGTACCGGCTTCCATATTATTTCCTTTAGTAAGAAAGTAACATGGAAGCATTTTTAAGGTAGATCTTGTAGCAGGGAGAAAAAAAAAAAACAAGATAAAAAGTCTGCATTATACTTTATCATTTTCTAAATAAAAGGGGGTGAGGAAATATATGCATATGCCTACCCCCATTTAGAATATTTTAGGAAAGATGCTTAGGAACTGGAAATAATGTTGAATCTGGAAGAAAGGCTATGGAAATAGCACAGTGGTGGGAAGACTTCCTTTATGCTACGTCGTACTGTTGGTTTTATTTTTTGCACTGTTAGGTGTTTTGTGTTTTTTTTACCATGTGTATTTTCCATATTTTAATCAATTCCAATTAATATTTAAAGATTATTTTCCTATTAGACTTTTCTTACTATGGCCTATGATCTCTTTATTACCAGCCCTGCAGTGTGCCTGCTTACAGTGTGTCTGTTTTAGCCACTTTTCCAAGTTCTCTGGCTGTTCTTCCTCCATCTGTGGATAAGTCCTGGAATTCTCAGGATGTCAGTGAGCTGCGGGAGGTCGTATCTGGCTTGTGTGTCTGGTGCGGTGCAGGCACCCACGTGTCTCAGGAGTAAAAGAGAAGTGAGCACAGAGGGCGGCCTCTCCCAAGCCCCTCTCCACGGAGGTGATGTTCGATGGCCGTCAGCTGTGGCGGGTTACACAGGGTGGAAAATTCACCCAGGACTTTCCAGAGGAGAGTGACTGCTCACTGATTGTTCATTTCACTTGCAGCTCAGTGTGGTTACAGTGCAGAGAAGAAAAGCAGCCTCCATGATGAACCTGGAAAATATCTAAAAAGGCCCGTAGCTCACCCCAGCCGTGGCGGGGAAGCTGCGGCACTCGGAGGGCGAATGGGAAAACCTGCCGAGAGGGGCCAGGCCTGCGCCGGGCATGCGCGCCTGCCGTTGGTGAGGGTTGGGAAGCAGGACAGTGGCGGCCTCCTGGGAGTAAAGGAGACAGAACCGCACGGGCTTCCGTGGAGAATAAAGCAGCTGAGAAGACCTCATTGCCTCCCCGGTGTGTCTGTTGTCTAAACACCCTCCCCCCTCCTTTGAAAGAGCATAATAACCTTTAGACTATGCTAATCATGAGAAAGAAATTTTAAGTAAGTGCTAAAATTTTAAGATTTCTGTTTCCAAGATTTGAGAATTTTATATCAGATTGTTACTTCTAATTCGTTTTTAAGGTTCCCAAGTATCCATTTTATTTTGAACTCATAAATATAATAAATTATGTGTTCTGAAATGATGCTGTCATGTATTTTAATATGTAACTGTAGTGACTCCGTTTTCCACTTCCATGATTTCCAGGATTCATCGATGCTGACGGTGAGGCTGGGGGGTGGGAGGGGTGAGCAGCAGCGATCAGGTGGACTTGGTCCTGAGGCTGCGCCGCGTGGCTCATGGGGCTGCAGCTTTGCGGTTGTTCTGCGTTCCCGGCGGGAGCGGGGCGGATAGGTGTGCTCTGGAAGCAGCAAGCTGGGAGGCCTGCAGTGGCGCAGGTAAAAGATCGCGCCTTAAGTTTGAGGTGTGTCCATATTCAGCCCGCAGTGGGAAGTTTCGGACTGATGCTGACATCCAGATGTTGTGGGGTCTTTGGTGGAGTTGAGGCCGTGAGGCGGAGGAGCTGGCCCTGGGCCTTGTGTGCTGGGCTGACACCCCGTTGCCCCTCCTCTCCTGCCCTCCCCTGACATTGCCTTTCACTCCCATCACCAGGTCCTCCTCTCCCTGCCCAGGGCAGTGTTCACACCTGGCTGTGTGCACAGTCTCCCGGTGCCACTCAGTCTAGGGGAGGGCTGAGTTGCTCGTAGAGAGTGCTATAGGGTTTCTCCTCGCGCCTAGAGACTGGTCACTGACTGAGTCTTTCTAAGGTCCTCTTCCCCGCCCCAGCAGGCTGCAGGCTCCGCGAGAGCAGGACTCTTGTCTCTGTAACCTTAGCGCTCAACAGAGTTCCCAATGGTTACTGCCTGTTCCTTTTTAAAGCCCTTTCAGCCCTTTAATATGGCATCATGGAACTTTTCATTCAATATTTTCACCTTTTTTTGAAAGAATAAAAAAGCCATTAGAGCAGAATGTGATATATAAGGAACTCTGTGAGCACTTACATCTGTGAAGATTAAAAACACGAGACTAGCATCCCCTTTCATCTAAAAAGCGGAGAGAAGCTATAATCACCTTTTTGTAAATAACCACAAGAATTCATGGAGACTCCTTCCCTGGGCCTACAGTAAACACGCTGATCTGTGTTAACGGTGCCTGTTTGTTGAGCACCTATCACTCATACATAAGGCACTGTGCTAACATTTTGCATTTATTAGCTCATGTAATACAACCACCCTGCGAGGCAGATGTTATTCCATTTCCTAAGATACAAGGCATGACGGAAGCTCACCAACTTGCTCTGGGTCAGAAGCGGGAAGTGGCTCTGAGGTTTCCCACCCGCCTCTCCCACACCAGACCCCTTCTGCTCGCTGGGCCACGGAAGCCACACCTCCGACCTCTCCTGCTTGCTGGCAGGGACTGAGCGGTCGCCTTTCTCACTCTCGGCTGCCCTGGGAGTTCACCTGGGCCACATCCTGGACTTGCTCGTCCCGGACTTCCCATAACTTCTACCAGTGCCCTCCACGCTGGTTGCTCACCACCCATCAGTGTGTCCTCCTCAGTTCGAGGGTCGTGTTCTTGATGGGAAATATAGGTGCAAATCAGGGTTTAAAAATTTCTACTTCCACTTTTTCATTCATCATCCCTATCATAACAAATTTGAACTGTGAACCCTTTTTCTTTCCTTTTTACCTTTTCTATCTAACCCAAAAGCCCATTTGGTCATCTAATTAATATACATTACAGAGAACACTTGGTATAAGAAAAGCAACTTCATATATAGTTGGATTTGGTTTTTTCTATAATGGGTGATAAAAATCACTATGAAGCATCCACCAAAAATCGTAAATAAGTTAAATTTTGTTTAGCAGTTGTAAAGTGGTTGGTATAATATTGTATGGTTTCCTGTGTCAAAATTTGGGACCTGGGACTAGTAGAGGCAAAGATATGATCACAAGTGTCTGACATGAAAAAGAAGCTCAGCCATTCAAAAGTGAGCAAGGAAAGGAGGACCTCGCCCTGAGGCTGCTGTGGGGAGAGGGGACGCCACACTGGTGGTTAGAACCTTTCCTTCAGCCCAATGAGTGGGTAAAGTAGCCATAATTAACCCATAATTATAAATGTACCGCTTAAAACTCAGCCAGATATAAGCCAAGTAATAGTGAGACTATCAAGATATATTAGTGTTAATTAGGAATGACAGAACTTTTTAAAAATCTTGGCTATTTAATTTGACAAATAAGTCATTGTTTGGCTTATTTGAAAAATTAACTGGATTTATTATATTTTCTCTCACAAAAACTGATTTGAAGGTTTGACATAGCATCAGTTTAAAGTTTTTGGACATTAGTCCTAATTCTAAATCCATCATCAAGAAACTGTGTGACTCTAAATAACTAACTTTCCAGGAAGGTGTCGGAATATGGAGAATTGTGACTGAGCTTCTGATAGCTCTTTTCTTTGCTCATATATGCACATATTTTATCTGAAAATGTGTATGTGTGCTCGCTACATGATGTCTATGATGCCACATAAACTAATTTCATTCTCCCTAGAAGGCAGCAATGACCACAAGCGGACGGTGTAAGCCATTATCCATTAGGTTACGTTCAGAGTCATTCGGCCAGGACGTTGGCGTAAGGGTTCAGGCCATGATCATCAGCTTTACTTTATAGAAATTCATTAGCCGCAAGTTCCCAGGTGTGAGCCCAGCACACTCAGGAACACCAGAGCTCCTTACGGGAACTATTTTTAGATTCTGTGAGGCAGCCGAGCTCGAGGGAGTGACTCACTCCCAGCTCTACCCTCTACTGACCTCGAGCAATTAACTTGACTTTTGTGCCTCAGTTTCCTCATCTGCAAATTAGATAACGCCTCACCTGTGAGGCTTAACCACGTCATTATCCACAAAATAGCCCAGTGCCTGCCATGTGAAAGCCCCCGTCATATCTGCAGGAGTCTGGAGGTTCTCCTGACGGCTACGCGCACAATGACAACATCAGGTTTTAATTGCACAAGCGATCTCTATGGAGATGGCCTTGGCAAAGCTGCAGCTAATTGAGGGGGAGGAGGGATTAATTTCAGCAAGACCTGAGCGAAGGAAACAAGGGGCAGCTGCAATTAACCCGGGCAAGAATTGGTGCAGCTTGAGCTACGTGGCACGTGGTACTGGGATTAAGAAGTGGAAATGCTGAGGAGATACTAAGTGCGATCCACAGACCTACGACTTGGGCCTGGGAGTGGAAGGAAGGACTCGCACACACTCCCAGGTTCCAGGCCTGAGCTGCGGTCTCTAAGGCAGGATGTACAAGGATGGGCCGAAACCCCCAGCAGCTGCCTCCATGCCGAGGAAAGGCGTGCTCGGCCCAGGAGGAGCCGAGTGCTGGTGTGGACGCAGCCGTGGAGAGAGCAGCCGCAGCCGGGGAAGTAGATATGGGATCTGCTCATGGGCCTTTTTCAATAACCAGACAGTCCAAGCTCTCCTGCTCTTCCCAGACCGGACCACATCACCGCGCCATTGTGAGCAATAAAGAGAAATCCTCCTGCACCTCGGAAGTTCATCGCCAAGTTTGCTGCTGATGGGACTTTCAAAGGTAGGAACCGTTCTCTAAGATGTGGGTGAACACAGGGGCACGGGCCCCTGGGGCCGCATTCCCCAGCACGTCGCAGAACTGCATGGCTAAGCCCTTCCTGCCTGTGGCTCCCGGGGACTTAATTTCCCAGGGGAACTATCATGGTTATTCAGCTTGAAGACCCTGTAGGAAGAATCCCAGTTCTTTCTCTCTGGGGTCTGACAGAGCAAGCGAGCTGGAAGTAAACAGTCACTAAGGAGGAGCAAGGAGAAATTAACTTCTAGCCAAATGTATGAACAATCCATGTTTAAGAAAAAGACACTGGCCACATCACTACAAAAATTATACCTGAGGGCAGTTGCGCAGCCCTGGTGTGGCTCTTGTGCACCCCGGTCTGGGTGAGGATGCACAACCCACGTCGGCCTGGCTGTCCCCGACCCGCAAAACTGCACTCACTGATGCCCATTTGTGTGTGTGGTGACTGAATGCTGCTTCAGGCAGGGAGAGCACAGAGCTCGCCATTAGAAGTGGGACCGAAGCCCAGGCCCAGTGCGGTGACCTCCACACATCTTTGTAGAATGCAGATCATACCTAAGAATGCGTTTAATAAAACTGTGCCCTGGAAAGTTATCTTTTTAAAGAGCCTTATAAAATAATCTTCCTGTCACTCAGAAATAACTTTTTTCTTTCTTTTTTTTTTTTTTCTTTTGCTTCAGAATGCTCAACAATCAACAATATGTTGGGGAAAAAACCTTGTTCCTAATCATAGAAATAGTCTCCCAGCTACTAAATCCTTCTACAGCTGTACCTAAGTTACTGCGTGGACTTGCTTGAAGTATCACAGTAACCCCAGTCATACTGTAAGATGTTACCCTCTTCTTACAGAAGGGGAAATTGAGGCTTCTAAAGGCTAGGCGATCTAGCCAAGGTCATGTGACCAGTCTCTTGGACCCTCATGTCTTAAGTTGCTTCAACAGCTAGTTGTTTTCATATCTAAGATTAGGATCCGGAAGGAACTCCATTGAGGTAGGGAAGGCAAAAATCAAACTGTGACCATCTTTCAGTGTCTCCGCATCAGAGCTGGGCAAGCCCACCACCCGGGGAGGGGTTATCCACCTCTTGTCCTGTTCCCTACAGTTCGCATTCATCATCCAAACCAGGACACACTTGCTACACGCTGATTCAGGACTAAGTCTTGTACATCTTTAAACATTGAGCAACGGCAGATTTCAAGACACTTAAGATGTACTGCAAAAATGTACAGCATTTATTCACATACAGACAAAAAGGCACAAATTCTACTAAATAGTTCAACAAAAAAATACAGCTGTCCTCAACTAGTTTTATAAATACTTTCAAAAAGGGGGTAGAAATAAATACAGGATTGGGCCATGTCATATAAAATAGTCATCTCTACATATACTTTGTTTAATTTCTGATTTGTAACTCTTCATGCACCTTTTTTTTTCTTTTCAATTTTAGCTGAATGGACACCAAGCTAGGCACATAGTGAAAAATCCTCTGTACAAGGTTACAAATGTAATGACAAGTTTGTCCATTTGAAAATAATTAAGATTTGTACACAACACATAGAACCCTTCATTGCGATTTTGTGTTTATAGCCTAACAAATGACATTCCAGGCAACTTTACAAAAGTTTAACTAGCCTACATTTTGACATAATACATTGATCATAATCAAAGATATTTCTTGGTCAGGGTGCACAAGGAAAGATAAAGCTTAAAAAAAAGAGAAAGAAAGAAAAGAGCAAATGGTAGGTCCCACACTAAGAAGTGTACGTGGGGTAGGGGTAGGGGTTGCTGCTGCTGGTGGCCACACAGACATCCCAGCAGGACAGAGAACTGACCTACAAAGCTATCATTACACCGGCGACACCGTGCTCTAGCCATTTGCCTCTCAAAGCAGAAATTAAAAGTGGGCTTTTTATATTTTGTGTGTCTTGTTTTCCTTGGGCTATTTTTTATTTTTTTCATCTTATGTTTTTGTTTTTTGTTTTTTGTTGTTTTTTTTTTTGGTTCAGCATATCTTGAAACATTTGAAAGCTTTTCAACCTAAATATGGGGGGGGAAACAGGTAAGGCATTATTTTTGCACAAAACTAGCATTCTTAATAGTGCAAATGAATCTGTGAACCTCTTAAAATGGTGAGAGGTCATACACTTACTAGAATTTAGGTTTTCTTTCTATGGCTTGACAAATCCACATCCTTGAACTCTCACCAGAGCTGTCACTGTAGTCCAAAAGTTACCGGGTAGAGTCCACCTTCCGTGCTCAGCAAAAGGTTTCTGCTCCTCTGCAAAGTCTGCCTTTTCAATTAGGCTGAGTGAAAGTACAACTTGGATTTGTAAGAAACTTCTATCTGCAGCAACAGCTTATCTGGACAACAGTCTTTTTCAAAAGGAGCCTCTCAGCTAAAAAATAGTCCATCTAAACCTGGGTCATCCTTTCCCCTCTCCTGAATCAGCTACTACAATGTATTCAAAAAGCTTAAGACCTGGTCTGAGAATGTCATACATACAATGGAGATAGATGCATCCGATCTACTATTTGATCATCTGACAAAACTTGCATAGCAAGATGGAATTCAATAAGCCTTGTTTGGTGTTGACAATCCTCTGGAAGACTTGAAAGTGAACCGCAGGACTCAAACCATTATTCATCAAGTATCAGAACGTCCCTGCCACGTGGAAACAGATGGATAAATGAATCAGGAGTCTGAATACCGACACCAGCAAACTAAGGGGCGATTTAGGGGAAGCTGGGCTTGTTCCAAGTGCCCATAATTCTAAGTCTAATCGCTATTTAAACTTTCCTTCTCTGAAATTTGATGCACAACTACACTGAATTCCAAAGAAAATGAACAGGACCTTAACACTACCCATTGTCTTAACACAGATGCACTGCAGTCAGTGCGAAAACAGAACACTGTACCCAAATTAATGCTAAATTCATTATTGCTGATAACTTACGAGTTATTGCCATTTGCAATTAGGAAGTCCAAGTTACGAATCAGAGCCTAGAACTGACTCCAGAAAAAACCTACTACACTTAAAACTCTTTCCTGTAGAAACTTGGTCAATGGTAAGAGGTTATCACAACTTATTGCCTTTCTATTGTTTCTAAAATATAGCCTATTTCACGCTTTTTTTTTTCTTTTTCTTTTTTTCTTTTCCTTTTTTCCTTGTTCTTAAGGAATCTGTTCCAGTTGGGGACCCTGGGAAGTATGAGTCACTGGAGTCTGAAAGTTCATCGCTTGAACGTGAATGACTACTGTACTGTTGGAGGCCAGCGGACCAGTGATTGCCAATGGCTAGGGGACCCTGCCCGGGCTGGCCCACAGACGGCAGTTAGGGAAGAGAGTGTGTCAAGAGGACTGGTCAATGGGGCCTCAGCTGCCCTCTCTCACAGACAGAACTTCCCAGTGACCTCGCTCTGCACCAGGCCTCTCTCTCCATCCCGCTCCCTCCCAGGGCTGCAGGCCGAGGAACCACATTCCCTCACATTCCAGCCCCCCGAAGCTCCTCCAGGGGTGACCTTCAACACTTCTCCCATCTGGGACATTTGCACAGGAGTCCCCTCGAGCTCCTCGGAGCTGCTGCCTGCAGACTGCAATGCAACAAGAACACGGTTTCCAACCCGCCACCGTCCCGGAAATAAGTTACAGGCTAGCCAACGGTATGCGAGGGGCGTCTAGAACCATCTCTGACTCCGTGTAGTCGGGTGACCAAGAGTTTGTGCTTTGGGAAGAAAACAGAGCAATAAAAACTCAGGAGGCTTCCGTAGGCCTCTCCCTCTTTAAAAATGCACTTCATTCCTTCATTCTTAGCGTAGTGTTTAAGCTTCTAGTCTCCGCCGTGCCTTGCGGTCGCAACCTACGTGTTTCCATAACCAGTTGCAAATACAGCACACACTCCTCGCGGTTTATAAAAGACTGAAGAAAAAAAAAAATCCATCTGAACTGCGAGTCAGTGCGGCGGCTCAGGGCCGGGCGGGCGGGCATCAGGAGGCCAGGATGCTCCTGCGGATGAAGTCTGTCCTGCGGCCCATGGCGCCGCCCGCGGCGGCGGGGATGCACTTCTTCTCCGAGGCCTCGCCCTCCGAGTCGCTCATCTCGCCGTCGGGGGCGTAGCCGTCGCTCTCGGGGTCGGGCCTCGGCCGGCTCTTGGCCCTCTCCCTGGCGGGCCCGCGGCCCAGGCCCAGGCAGGGGCAGGCGGCCCCGGGGGCCGGCGCCTCCTGCGGCGGCCGCTCCCCCTTCTTTGGGATCCGGAAGCCGCCCCAGTTCTTCCCGGGGCTGGCGGGCGTGGGAGGCACTTTGGCTGCGGGCGGGGGGTGGCTGCCCCGCGCCAGGGCGCCGTTGCACTTGGGCGGCCCCTCTCTCCGGGCGGCGGCGGCGGCGGCGGCGGCGGCCCGGGGCGCGGGGTCCGGGTGCCGCGGGGGCGCGTCCGGGGCCCGGAGGGGCTTGTGTCTGAAAGGCCTGTCCCTCCCGGCCGCCTGGCCGGCGTCGCAGGGGAAGCGGGGGTCCCTCCTGCTCCCGGGGTCCGGCGCCAGCGCGCCGTTCCGCTGCTGCGGGGCGGCCAGCAGCCGGGCGTCGGCGAAGGCCTGGTCCAGGCCCAGCCAGCCCTGCGGGGCGCCCGCCGCCCGGTGCGGGGCCGGGCCCGCGGCCCGCGGGTGCGGCTTCTTGAGGGCGCGGCCCAGGGAGGTGCCCATCTGCTTCCGGAAGAAGGCCGAGTGCCACTTCAGGTCCTCGATCTGGGGCGCGTCGGGGCCCACGGAGGGGCTGTTGAACAGAAGCATGCTCTCCAGGGAGGCGGCGGAGCAGGAGGGCGAAGGCACACCTGTGGGGGGAAGCAGAGAGAAAGGTTACAGCAGGAGCAAGTCCGAGGAGGGCCGCCCCAGACCCGCAGGGGCGCCCGCGCAATGCAAACGGCCCGCAGGCAGCACCTGGCCGGGCTGCAGAACCACCGGAGGAGAGGGGTCCGCCGCGGGGGGAGCAGCTGCCTTTTCTGAAACAGCCAGAGCCACAGAGGAGCCCCTGAAGCAGCATCTTTCCAAGGAACGCATGTCCTTCCACACCACAGCTGAGCTGACAAGGACCCCAGGGAAGGCGGGGAGGGAAGGGGTGCGGCGGGCCTGCCTCCCAGCAGGGCTAAGGCGGGAGGGAAGTGGGGGCCCCCAGGGCTGTGATGCGGGGAATGTGAGGAGCTGTGAGGTGAGCAAGGGAAGGTGTTTCAGCGCCTCCCAGACACAGAGCAAAATTTTTTTTTTTTAATGTTTACTATCAGATGTAAAACCCACTTGTGGGATTAAACTGAAATGTAACCCAAACAGGAGATAAGTTAAACTGGCCTTTTTCAAATATTTTTCATGCCAATCGCAGTAAGCGCTGAATTTCACCTAACTCAGGAAAAGCCCACTTTTCCTTAAGTCTTACTGTCCTTTATCATCTGATGTGCCCTCTGACCTTTGCCGTTTCACTTGTTTTTGAAGCTAGTGATGAACTAACTACTCAACTCCTCTCGCCACCCACTGGGCCCTGCCCCTGGGTCGGGGGAAGCTGGGTGAGCTCACAGGAAGGGCCTCAGAGCCGGTTTGGGCTTCTGTCCCCTGTAGGGTGAGAACCAGCAGGAAAGTGGGTCCCGCTGGAGCACCCGAAGGAACCTACTGCTGAGCAGACACGGAGCAGGCGTGAACCGGAACAGAGCCAGTGACTCCAAACACAGACCGCCACCACCGGGGGGGCCCGCTTTCTCAAACATCAAAGGTTAGGGTCCACCTCCACGCCACACACCTCCCGTGGGGAAACAGAGCAAGGGGCGGGGGGGCGGGAGAGGGGGGTTCTGACTCGGATTCTCTCTACTTGACCTGGAATCGCGTCTCTCGAGTCTCTGACGCATGACCCCTGCAGGCAGCCCCTCCACTGGGGACTCTCACCCAGCAGAACAGCCCTCCCCGTCCTCAGTCACTCACAGCCCGAGCCCTGGCCCCTGAATGACACGCGAAAGCCATGGGCGTCCGCGCTGTTCCACCTGGAATCGCATGCTCAGAGCAGGAGAGGGGCCGCAGAGGCAGCGCCCGGCTGAGTCTAACACTGGGGAAGGAGAGACACAGGTCCCGGTGTGCCCTGTCCTGGCTGCGGCTCCCACAGGGACCACAGGTGCGCCCAGCCCTTCCCACCGGTGTGTGGGGGCCGGTGGGGTTCCTTGTCTGCAGGACTTGCGAGTGGAGGGATGCGTGACAGCTGTTACACGCACAGCCTCACCTGGCTCAGGGTCTCCGCCACTCAGCCAAGGAAGAGCCTCAGCCGGGAAACACAGAGAGCTGCCGGCAACACCATAAAAAAGGACTCGGTGAAACCCGGCGCACATGCTCTTTCCAGCTCATTCTCTTTAAACAACAACTTAGCAAAAGTCCCAGAAAGGCCCAGCGCCCCCGGGCGCGGCCGCACTCCGCCCCCCCCCCCCCCCCCCCCCCCAGCTCCAACGTCCTCAGAGGGAAAACCCGTGCAGAAGCTCAGGGAACAGACAGAAGGCCATTTTAAAGAATCTGAATCGAACTGCTGTCACTTGTGACACCCTACTAAAAACTCTCATTTTAAAAGTCTTGATGATACTAGCTTGATACATTCCTGGAGAAAAAAAAAAAATCTAAGATAATATTATTAGTAAATCAATGCTATTAAAAGTATATATTACTTCAAGAATGTCACTTAACACTCCGTAGGCTTTCTTCTCTTTCTTCCATTGACCACTCCACAGGAAGTCCTCACTCCCCGCCAACAGGCTCGGCGATGTCCCGAGGAAGGGTGCGTGGGAACCCAGCTTCCCAGAGGCCAACAGGGAGAAAAAAAGGTGGAGTTCCCGCGGCCTCTCCTCACATCCTAACGAAACACTCCGTACCTCTGGTCACATTGATCTGGTTGGTTTGGGGTAAATCAGAATTCGAATTTCACCACTATAGGGTGTAACAGCCTTGTTTCCACGTGTCAGAATCATCTACAACAAGCCAGCCGCGACTCAGCGCAAAGCAAGAATTTCAGATGTTGCCACTCTAACTTCAAAGGGCAGCCAGGCACAGAGATGAGACGAGGCAAACTCCCCTCAGAGCCGCCTGTGCCCGGAGTCTGCGATGCTGCCTAACCCACGCTCAGCGCATCACCTTTTCTGAAAGCCGCCCAACCTGCTTCCCTGCGTTGATGCGCGCAGACCGTTAGCGCCAAAAGGCAACTTTGGTTCTGGACCCGGCCTCTTCTGCGAACCCAGAGTCCCAGGGAAGCCACACAGCGGCCCAGCTGTGTATTTGATCTCCAATGATTGCCGTCGTTTTTCCTTTCCCCTTTGGTTACCCAGAGCCATGTTAAACTGAAGGCACCAAATGCATAAATACTTGGTGCTGAGTCTCCAAAAGATGCAAATTCCCCCTACACCAGTGGTCGGCAAACCGCGGCTCGCAAGCCACGTGCGGCTCTTTGGCCCCTTGAGTGCGGCTCTTCCTCAAAGTACCCCGTGCAGGCGCGCACGGGAAACTTCGTGGCCCATGCGCAGCAGTCGGTTTTCGGCCTGGGCGAGTCTATTCTGAAGAAGTGGTTCTAACGCCGAGCCACACCCAAGGGGCCAAAGAGCCGCATGTGGCTCCCGAGCCGCGGTTTGCCAACCACTGCCCTACACCAAAAAAGTCCACTGGGAATGTTCTCTAAACAGACATAATGCCTCGAGTGCGGTCAGATACACTGAGCGTATGCTTACAGGCAGGTGCCAGGCTAGGTAACCCCCTATCTTTTTAGGTCTCCCCAGGATGCCTTACGTTTATCAAGTGCTTTGCAATAAAGAAGTTACTTTTTCATTTGAGCCTTTGAACAGTTCCCGGGCGGTAGCTGGCGATACCACCACCCTCAAGTTCCATCTGAGCAAAGAGGACGGCTAGGAGAACTGGAGACTCGCTTGGGATTGGCTCAGACGTAGAGATCAAGGATGCAAATCCTTAGCCCTTCCCCCTGTGCCCCGGGCCTCAGATGCTCAGAAATTTCCTGTAGTAGGCAAGCCTGTGCTTCTGAGGTTATCCTGTCGGGCACAAAGAAAGGAAAGGAACTACTCTTGCTTTCCTCAGCAGAGCGTGAGGCCTGCGGCCCCGCCTGCCGCCGGAGCTGCGAGGCTGATGCATACCTGAAACTCTTTCTTGCTCCAAGAGCTTAGTGTAAAGATTGAATATCTGTTCCTGGACTTTGCACACAGATCGCTTAATCTTTTCCCTGCGGGTCACCATGTAAGTGAGGTTCCGAACCTAGAATGTAGAGAATAAAGATTCTCAGTAAGCAATGCATTGTAACAGTACTTTGGTGGATGTTCTGTTTTTGGTTTTTGTTGTTTTTGTTTTTTTACCTGAGAGAAAATTGTCCTACTAGGGCCTTGAGTGACATCTGAAATCAAAATGTACTTTGAATGCGTTATCCAATCTCTTATCTCGTTGGGGCTGCTAACAAGGCTTCCACATACACCCCTCCGCACAGGATGAGATGGGGGAGGAGCGCCTACCGACCCCCCCAAAGTCCCGCCGCCTCCACCACACCCAGCCTCAGACTCATCGCTACGCCACCCCCAGCGCCTGCAGGCGAAAGGCTTGAGAGGTCAGAAGCCCCTGCACTGCACTCTGCCCAGCACCTTCTGAAGGGGAAGTGAGGTCAACACAGGGTCAAGGGCAATCAGAAGCGAAGCCCATCCCCTGGCACAAGGCTCACTAGGTGAATGCCTCGGTCAGCTGGCACCAAACCACAGCTCCACTGTGCCTGACGGTCCGCCCCTGGGGATCACGTGCACACACTCGAAACTAACCAACACAGACTCAGTCCCAAGCCACCTGGGATCAGTCAACACAGAAACAGAACTTAAAAGATTTGTCAATAAAACCCCTTCAATCCTCAGTCCTAAGACCTAACCAGACTCCAGGGGCCTGAATGCACAGATCTCAAAACCCAGCAGAGGAGATGCTAGTACACGGTCCGGCCTCCTGCAGGACGTGGACAAGATGTCCCCAATCCTCCCTGGCAGCGGTGAGCAGTGACTCCTGTTCCCCATCAGCTCCCAACTCCCCTCAAAACCTTATGCTTGCCAATCCCTTCCCCCGCCGCCTGCCTTGAAACAGAAGAGGTCAAAGGTCTCGCCCTCCGCGGTTCGCAGTGAGGATGAGGACCAGCCGTGCACACAGGACTGCACGGGCTCCTGCAGACACCACCCCTGTGTCCTCAGTCCATCCCGAGCCCCGCTGGGTTCCAAGTGAGAGGACATGAGACTCTCAGAGAGGCGGCTCGCTGGCTCCTACGTTTACATCCACGTGTAACGTATTTAGCATCTTCCTAACACTTTCCTTCACTGAAAAAGAATACAAATCCTAACATTAAAGACCTGAGAAGGAAGTCTCATTCCCTGAGTAAATATTTTGGTTCCTCTCACTTCATCTCATAGCCTCAGACCCCAGGCCAGGAAGTAGGTGTCCTTTATAAAACCCTGCCCCACTGCGGACAGAGGTGGCTACCAGGCTATTCTCGTCCATGAGCAATCTTCCACCTAGGGGAGATTAGAGAGGAAGCTCAAAGAGGAAGAGGCAAGACCTAGAGAGAGGTCACAGATTCAAAACCCTTTGCAAAACAAGCAGGAGGAATCTGGCCTCCGGACATGGGAATTGCTTCTGGCTCTTCTGTTCCAGCTGGATGCACAGCAGAGACACATCTCTTTCTTAAAATTATCCTCAGAAACAGAGGCCTGGGGAGCCAGAGACCGGGACATTGGGTATTATTCAAATTTAATTTCAAGGGCTTCAGCCACTCCCCCGGGGAGCCTCCATCTGGCTGCTAACTGGGAACTCCCCGTCTCTTCCCCACAACCTCTGATGAGAAACATCCAACTGTAACCTCAAAAGGCAAAGGCCCAGGTTCACGGTCAGTTGGGATGAATCGGCTCCTGAAGGCCAGGCTGTTTAGAACAGTGAGCAGCCTAAACGGTACCCCCCTGGGGTGCACACACACTCCTCACAGGACGGGTGCACCAGAGGCCCCGGTGTGTAGAGCTGAGCGGAGGCTCTGCCCTGGAAACAGACCCTGCCTGGCCCTTCCTGCACACTCCCCACAAACAGGCCAGCAAGGAGGCACCCCGAAACACCAGCTCACGGTACACCCTCACACGACGTGACACCTGAGTGAGGTTTTCATTCAAATGCAGTGTTTGCAGGCCCCAGCAGGGTAGCTCAGTTGGTTAGAGCACCAGCCCGGTTCGCCAAGGTTGCAGGTTCAATCCCGTCCTGAAGAATTGACTAATAAATGCATGAAAAGGTGGGGCAAATCGATATTTTTCTCTCTCTCTCTAAAATCAATGTATATATGTGTATGTTTCCCTAGACAGAATGCTGCCCCCTCACCCCAGAATTCTGGAGTCAGAAGTGGGGTCCAAAAACTGGCATTTCGGGTTTCCAGGTAATGTTGCTGGCTGGGGACCATTCTGAGAACCACTGCCCTCAGGAACCCGAGTGCTCTCAGGGTTTTCTTGAATCCCAGGCACTGCTTGCCACACCAAAGCCGAACATGCCTTTTGTTCAGGGATAATGGCAGCTCCAGTTTCACAGGTAGCCATGCCACTGGGCATTGAGTGGACAGGCCCCAGGACCAGCCTCTCCTGACAGAGGCAGCGTGTCTGTCTCAGCAGGCACTCAGCTGCCTCTCGCAGCAAACCACATTGAGCGGGGAGGATCCCTCGGGAGGGGAGGGGCCTGTGGGCCTTGCTGTCAGCAGCTGGCACTCATCAGCAATCACGTCTTCTTAAAGGTGTGGGTCCCCAGCCCCTCCTGAAAGCCAACCCTATCCTTTCTGGTCTGGAACGGGTACCAGGCGTGCAACGCCTCCAGCTGTCTTTGCAGGGAAGAGCAGTTGCCATTATCATGTGTCAGCGGTTTGCATTTCTAATGAAGGCTGCTCAGGGGTCAGTGTGGGACTGACCACGAATCCCGATTGTCCCGGGTGGCACCTGATCCTGTGTGCCTGCTATGATGTTCTACTGTGTGAAGTAGGCAGAACAAAGAGAGCATACGTTATGATTTGTTCTGATGAGCCTCTGGCCTGATATACTTCTTGTTTATGATTGCAAAGAGCCCTGGACTCTCTGGGGCACGATAAAGGTTCAATCCTCTAAAGCCCCACCATCACAGGCCTCATGGCACATTGTGGGAAATGTCTTTTTCATTACCATAAGCCCGCTTTAAACTGACACTAAATACCCTAAAATCTGTTAAGCTCTTTATTTAAGTAAATGTAAGTAATGCCACACACACACACACAGAAATCCTGATTTATTCCCTGTTTCTCATACATAATTGGCATCATTCTACTTAAAAAGCAACAGTGATGACTCCAAAAAGATGTTTAGAATTTAATTATAAGTCCGTGTTAATCTGAGTAACTTAAGCACAGAAAAGAGTTAGTACACCACAAACATTTTCTACACTTTTATTTTGTGGTGATTGTGAGACAAACACAGTCCAGACATCAGACTTCTCGTCCTCCCTCCTGAGGACTATCTGACTCCGGGCTCGTGCGCCCCGGACAGCGGCCGTCACGTACTGGCTCCCCGCCAGGGTTCCAGCTTATCCCTCAGAATACCCTTCTCCTCAAATTAACAAAAAAAGCCACACATCCATGTGGTTGGAGGTGAGGTCTTCTGCACACTCACCACCAGGGGGCGTGTGGGAGCACGAGAGCCTCAGCCCTCCCCCCTCCCTGCTGGCCTCACCTGACCCCAATCCTAACCTGCTCCAGGGAGCAGTGTCACCAGCTGGCCCTGGGTCGTGTGCAGACCAGGCCTCCAATGACCACTTAAAAACACCTGCACGCCGATGCCAAGGTCCCTCTGGGAGACCTGCATCTTTGAGTTCATTCGTCCATTCGCCCTATGCCTGGCCTACACTCCCATTTCCCATCCTCTCTGAGGCAGAGGCTCCCAGGCAGGTGAATCACTTCCTGCTGGGGGCTCAGGGAGGTGCGTTAACTGTTTCCGGCCTGGCCGTGGTGCAGGCTGCTTCAGGCCAGAAGCAGAGTCCAGCTGTGAGCTAATGAATTTAATCAGCCGGGAGCTGCCACAGAAGGTGCTCTAAGACACATCTCCAATTAGCAAGCCTCAGTCAGAAGCTACCTACTGGGAGCAGCAGGCCCTGGGGGGAGACAGCCCTCCTAATTATACCTGTGCAGGAGGGAAGCCCACCTGGGACTCCCCGGTAACAGTAAGGGTGGAGGCACAAAGCAGCAACAGCTGAAGGAAGCGGCCATGGCCCCAGGCAGCCACAGCCGCCTCACCAGCAATGCGCAGCGATACTGTGCGTGCTGAGCAGGACGGGACCCCGCAACCACACAGGACACACCACAGACACACATGACACGGACACACGTGCACACGTGACATATACACACAGCCTCGGGGATGACGTAGCACCTCACTGCCAGGAGGACCTGTGGCAGACGCGCGTGTGTAAGTGCTCGCACACGCGCCAGCACCCACAACCTGCCCTGCCCCTCAGCACAGGGCGCCCACGAGCCAGCCAGGAGTGGGGGGCAGAGGCAGCGCCCCCCACGCCTCTCAGAGCCACGTGACCAGCACCCGGTGTGCCTCAGGCTGAACGAGAGATCTTACCCCCCTGCCTGCACCACCGTTCGGCAAGTCTAACTGGTGTCCTAACCGTTTGCAAACTATTCTGGGCCAATCCCTTGGTCGTTTTCCTGGGGCTCAGGTCACTCTAGCTCTAGAATGGAGGGGACACACACCCCATGGGACCTTGCAGAAGAACAATACTGAGATCAGTGGGGAAATACTTAAAAGGAGGTCACAGAGAAGCCCCCCGTGAGCTTCCCAGCCCGGGGACACTACACGGACACACCCCCATGCTGCAGTGTGTACAGGGTCTGAGCGAGCGACCGGCCGGCCGCCACGCTGGCTCTGCGCAAGCGCGGCCTCTGAGCAGTCCTCTTGGCTAAGTCACTACAAGGTGTCAGTGTCAATCATTACCCTCTCCAGGTCCTGCCGCAGGTGCGTGAACAGCTGCAGCCGCCTAAACAAGACATCCTGCTCCCGCTTGGCCAGATTGTCCTCCTCGTCTCTCTTTGGGGTGATGAGCGGCTTGTTGAAGTTGACCTTCCTCTTCAGCTTCCAGTACTGGTACAGGAAGTCCACCACCTCCTCGGGCAGCCGCAGGGCCCTGGCCACGTCCAGCAGGTTGACGAAGGTGTAGAAGGCGTCCTCCAGCTGCTGCAGCTTCTGCTTCCGCACGCTCCCGCGGTGGGCCTCCTCCTGCTTCGGCTCCAGGCCGGCGCGGGGCTCCAGCGGGCCCCCGTTCTCCTGGGCGGCCCCCGCCGCCAGGCTCCCCTCCGCTTTCCGGTGGGAGCTGTGCTTGGGGCAGTAGGACTTGAACTTGACCTCATCGTTCTCCGCCAGGATGGTCTTCATCTCCAGGCCCCGGTCGAAAGCGCAGGTCACGTGGAAGGCCGTGCGGCAGTTCTTCACGGAGCACTGGCGAGGAAAGGGGAGGACGGTTAGGCGGGCCCGTGGCTGACGCCCCTCGGTGGCCGGCCCCAGCACCCGGCAGAGCTGCGCCCAGGGTGGCCGTGACAAAGCCCCGGCCTTACCGGCACACTCACCCCGGGGTGTGTTAAACTTCAGAGGGAAGGTTTCACGGACCAACCCTGCCTCTCAGACGAGCCCTGTGGCCCACGGTCCGGGACAGACCGCCTGCACGAGGCCGTGTGGCCTGAGTGGGGCTGGCGCTCACGCCACACACCACACGCCACATGCCAGAGAACGTGTGCTCAGCTGGCAGAGTGCACGCAGAAGCACCGATGTGCTTTCTCTTTGGATCTGAGCTCTTTAGTGTTTATGTAAAAGGCCAGACGACAGGAATCTCCCCGGGAGGAGTGACAACGAGTCGGAGGTTCTCCGGGAACCTGAATGCTCACTCTCACCCCGGCCAGCGGAGCCCACACAAGCGGGACATTCCCTCCCCGCCCGCCACTCCGGATGAGGCAGGTGAACACCAACTCCCACAGAGAAAGAAGAGCGGGAGACAAGGGAAGCCCAGCCCAGGAGGTCGGGACGAGTGTCCACACCCGTTGGGACCCTCGCCCGATGCTCCCGGGGCAGTGGAAGGGGCACGAGACCACATGTCCTGCCTGGCGGTGCTGGCTGCTCCCAGCGGCCCCTGGGACTGGCTGTGGTGGCAGAGAACCGCGAGGGGCCTGACCCCCGGGTCAGGAGGTCGCCTGGAGACCAGGTGTCATGGCTGCACCCCCTCCCGGGAGCCTCCTGTTCACCCCAGCATCAGGGCTGCAATCTGCAGCTCAGAGGGCTGGCGGCCTGGCAGGAGGTCTCCCGTCTGATGTCACAGGATGAACCCCTGGAAGAGGCTTCTGGTGAAGACTGAAGCCAGTCCCTTAAAGGCACCTGTGCCGCCTGAGGCCACGGGACCGGGCTCGCCGGGGCTGAGGGAAGCAGAGCCCCGGGCCCCGGCCAGCTGAAAAGCTTAATTACACTCATTCAGCGGCCAAAACCGGGACCAGGGAGGGCAGAGGATGGCGTTGGGGCTCTTGCCCCATCATTGCAGCATGTAACAGGTCATGCTGTTACAGGTCAGCATGTAACTCACTGCCAATAATTTCTCCCGTTATTATACCCACGAGTACGGAAAACCCAGCTACCTCCACCGTTCCCTCCTTACCAACACTGAACAGCCAAATTAAAGAAATCTGTAACTTTACCTATAAACAACCTCAATTCCTGGGAACGTGTGAAATCGGCAGGACACGCATACACCTGGCCGCCACCAGCAGAGCAGGGAGGAGGGCTCCTCCTGCAGCGCAGCGCAGCCCGAGGGCGGGACGGCGCGGAGGCCGGGACTCCTGGGTTTGGGTCTGGGTTTGGTTCACACAGCACTTAGCCCAGGCGCCCGGCCGCGGAGGAAGGCGCTGCAGCGCAGTATTTACACAGGACTTTGTAAGGACGCCAAGCAGCCTTCCTTTGGGTTTTCCGATTCAGGTTGACTCAGCAAACAGATGTTACAGAACCATAAACCACAGCCCTCACAGCTGCAGACATTCCGGGGAGGAATTCTTTAATAACATCCGCCCACTCTGTGCAGATATGAAAAATCACCGGCCTTCCTTGGCCTCTTCTCTTCCAAATTAACGTTCTGGGAAAAGAGGTCAACGGCCACAAACGTCCTCTGATTATCTCTCTTTGAAAGAGAAACAGAGACCCCTACCTCCTGTGCAGACCAGGAGGGGAGCTGGGGAGGGCACAGACCCGGTCTCACGGGGACTCACGGCAGGTAACTGGGAGGAAAGCATTTCCCTCTTCCTGGGTTTGCAAAGCTTTTTCCTGCAAGTTCTCTCTCTCTCTCTCTCTCTCTCTCTCTCTCTCTCTCTCTCTCTCTCTCTCTCTCAGACACACACACACACACACACACACACACACACACACACACTAATGTGTTTTTTTTAACTCCAGGCTCTTTGCCATGTGTTAGTTTTAAGCAGATTCTATTCGAATACACAACTCTGCACTGCTTTCAAGGTCTGCAGACCGATCCCACTAGCTGTCTCATGCCTCACCCTCTGAATATTTCTGTTCCATTCTGGATTCTCAGACACCAGTATATAATGACAAATTTTTAAAACCACCAGTCAGCGGGTACCGTAACGAAAGAAATATTTATCAGCCATATACAAATCGGTTTTGCCAAATGAGGTCATTTTCTTAAAGCCCATGACTGGCAGCTGGACCGAGCTCCTGGAGTGTGTGCCTGTTTGGAGTGTGACGGGGACCGAGGGGGAAGCCGAGGGGAAGCCCTGGCCCTGAGCTGGCCACAGGCGGCGTTTGCAGACTCAGGGACAGGACTGCAGACCTCGAGTCATGACTGTGGAGATGCCAACAACCTAAGGTCCAGAAATTAACTTCGACTAGTTTTAGACAACATGAAAAAGGATAGCTGTATGTTCTCTCCTTAACTCTACCTACATGTAGATTGTCTACACTTGTCGGTGTGCGAACAAAGAAGCCAAGGTTTACATAAAAGCCACAGTGCGTGCGCACGGTGCCACAGAGAGCCAAGCAGCCAGGCTGCATTCGGTGTAGCACCGCGTGGTGTCCCTCAGCCAGCTATGCCAGCTGCTGCCACGTCTCACCTGAGACATGACCTTGCATACCTGGGAAGCCAGCAGCGTCAGGGTAGCTGGAGGCAGGTCACCTGCTCAGCCCACAAACAGGTAAGAGGATGGCTAGCCCTTCAGAGCCAAGGCTGGCTCTTCCCCGGAGGCGGCTGCCAGGCTGGGAGCAGGGAGGGTACCCGCAGACAAACTGACCATCCTCTCTGCTCAGACGGAGTCCGAGTGGCCCTGTGCCGGCCTAGCTGGCATTCTGCTTACACAGAACACAATCTACCCACATCATAGGACCAGACCAGGTTGGAGCCAGTCCTAGCCTCCCCATAAGAGTGTGAGACCCCCATCCTGCTTCCTGAATTCACCTGCAATTTCCAGAGTTCACAGACACCGCTCCCCCACAAACTCCATCCTGCTCCCTGCAACACAGGGAAGGAGAAGAAGCCACTGGGGCTAGGCCATACCTGTATGGAGGCCCCAAACTTCTCGTTGCAGAGGCTGCACACCAGCGCCCACCGACTGCTGGGGATGTGAGACACCTTGGTGATGGGCTCCATCTTCTCGGGGCTGCCGATGCTCACCTAGGGCCCGAGGAACAGCGAGAGTGCACCGAGGCCGTCAGACAGACCAAGCCTGGGCGCGGGTGGCAGAATCTGAGAGATGTGCTACTTCCCGTGCTCCCCCTCCCCCCTCCTCCAGATAGGGGCAAGGGGCACTTGACCTCCTAGGAGGGGCACACCCCTGACACATCAGGACAGCTCAGGGGACAGCTCGGGGGCAGGAGAGTCAAGAGCCTAGAGCCCATTCCCTCCACCCTGAGCACCTGAGGGTCATGTGACTCAGGAGTACCTGTTCCCAGAACTCCCAGATAACCGGGTGCCTGTCTCAGCGCCCACCACAGCGGGGCCCACCGGACGCGGTTAGGGCTGCGGGGGGAGCACGTCTACACAGACGGACTTCAGCGTCTGTCTCACTGCAGAGAGCCATCCTCTTCCAGCTGGAAAGGTGCTGCGCAGTGGAAAACCACCAAGACACACAGGCTCCTTGGCACGGGGCCTGGGTCGCTGAACCGGGTCCCCGTTAATAGCAAACCACGCGGCCCGGCGCTGCCGGGACTGAGGCATGAAGCCGCAGCCCCAGCCGTCCCCAGATAATCGTCCTCCGGAGGGAAATGCACCAGGAATCACACACCAAAAACGCTGAAATTTGAATCGAAAATGATATTCTCCACAGTGAACCATGCAAATTAAATTAGTCAAGGTCTGGGACTGGAAATAAATTACACCAGACCTGAAATTAAAAAGGTTGAGGCTAAGGGAGAACTCCAATAAAAGTCTCAGAAACAGGACCCAGAGCCGTGGCTCCTCCCCGCGGTGCTGTCCGGGGACCGGCGCCAGGCGCAGTCCCGGGGGAAGGGCTCGGGGCCCGGGCCACCGCCCGGAAGCTGCAGGGCTGCCCCGGGGCCCTGGCCCAGTGGGAGGACAACCGAGCCGAAGCCTGACCACCACCCCACGCACTGCTGCCTGGGTTAGTGCGGCCACAAGGAGATTCAGGTGAAGGGGGGAAACTAAAGGGTAGCACTAAAAAGGTGTCCTTTTCCTCATCGGCTACCACGTGGCCTGTGTGTGACCGGCCCCTCCTCCACCCCGGCTAAAAGGCAGAGCCCCCGTGAGGCCACACTCACCTCGGGGATCCACAGGGCACAGCTGACGTGGACCCACTTGGTCCCGCTGCGGGTGGGCTTCATGGCTCCGCCTTTCTTGGGGCACAGCAGGCACTTGGGCTGCACCCCCAGGGCACACGTCCGGCACAGCCAGCTGCCCTCGGGCACCTTGAGGATTCCGTAGCAGGCCTGTGAGGCCAGAGCCCCCGGGGAAAGGAGAAAAGAGAGAGAGAAAAGGATTCATTTGTCTTTCCCATGATACCTGTTACTCTTACAACACCCAGAAGGTTTATATCAGGACAAGTGGCTGAACAGAAGCACTGCTCTGCCCACCACACAGGGTTCCTCTCCCTGCAGGTCAAAGCCAGGCGGCCTCGCCCGCAGCGGATGGTGTGTGATGTCTGTGGGTGCCATACGACGAGCTCACCGCCAGGTGACTGAACTCTCCCCGGGGACAGACAGGTCTGGGAAGAGCCAGGGCCACCACGGGCCCCCCAGCTCTGAACCCTGAGCCGCAGATCCTCAGGGCAGGGCTCGGGGTGAATCGGGGGAAGCTGCCCCCGGCTTCCTGGCGTGGGTGGGACTCAAAGTGAGAAAATAACACAGGGCAACCGGGAGCCTCCCGAAGCGATGAAAAGCGCTGGCAATGAAACACCAGCTAAGGAGCATCCGTCCTCGTCCCCCGGGCTCAGACGCTACCAGCCGATCCCAACACTCTCCCAAGTGCACCCGCAGGCCCAGAAAGGTGAGACTTTCTAGACCAAGAGGATCTGGGCTTTTTAACTGACACTTAGAGCAAAACCTGTTTTGCACAAGAAAGCCAATCACAGAAATCAAGGCTTTTTACCAGCAAGTCGCCAAGATGGCTCAAAGCTCGAAAAGGCAGAGTGTTAAACAAGTGAGGAAACAAAACCATGATGGTAGCAGGTCCAGAGCCTTCTCAACACCACTACCAGCCGCTGTCCTCAGATGACCCGGGAGCCAGGAAGTCGGGAGCCAGTCGCGGGCTCCAGCCCTCCAGACAGGAAAGCAGCCCAGTGCCGTCTGCGAGCGCAGGACGCAGAGAGGAAACCGCAGGGATGAGAGCGGGCGGAGGCAGCAGCCAGACTGAGCTCAGGGCGCGATGTCAGCGCCATGAATGAGCCACTGTCAACACAGACTGCCGGGAAACAACTTTAAATAGAGCGAAATGACACCAGTAAGGTTTCCAGCACCCAAAGGTTCCTATCAGGCATTCCAGAGGAAGTCACATTTGAAAAGATAACTTTTTTTTTTTTTTTACTAGAAAAGCAAGTCTAAACAAAATTAAAAGATTAAATAAAATATGCCTTTAAGTCAAGCCCTGAAGAATGCCTCAAAGGAAAAATGAACCAGGAGGAAAAGCTAAGGAAAGACACACCGTGGTGATGGCAGGAGGAACAAGACCAGGAGAGGGGGTTGGCTGGGGGCCCGGACACCCCAACTTCCAGCTCCAATGGCCTCTAACCCACAGGGACCCTGAGCAGCCCTCCTGACATTAGTCACTTATCTATGAAATGGGGTTTGAGAGCTTCCAAGCAGAACCCCTTTTTTTTCAAACAAACAGGGGCAAACTAAGTAAAATAGGAAAAAAGCCTGAAAAGTCATCCAGTTAAGAGCACCAGCAACAAAAACAACGATGGCAGTCACGGTGCTCCCGGTCTTGTCACAAGGAAACCCTACAAGGAGTCCCGGTCTCCCCAGGAAGTTCCCCCAACGACGGCAGCCCAGGGCTGCGGGCGGCTCCGGCGGGCGCAGGGAGAGACCGTGTCGCTCTCGGGAGGAGCGGGACAGGACACGGCAGACGAGGCTGCAGGCCGAGGGGAGGCCACGAGCAGCACATCGTTCAGAAAACAATGACCCAAGAAGTCCCAGAGCAAACCTGACTCTTCTACCAAGAAGTCGCTGAGCAATCTCCACCGTCTAAGCTGATGTCGGCATTAACAGGTGAATTCAAAGAAAGGACCTCAGCGTAGCCTTTTAAATCCGAACAGTGTATGTGAGTCCCCACAGAAATCCGAGTCACTGCATGACTGCATTAAAAGTAAGTAAGAGAGGTGAGAAAGACTGAGAGGTGAGAAAGTGACCACCCTTACGGATGCCTCCAGATTACTTTTCATAGAAGGCAGCCAGCGACCACCACACCCTCCTGGAATCCATCGGGGAGCTCAGGAAATCAATTTCCAGGAAAGGGAACTCCTTCCTCTTTTTTTTTTTTTCTTTCTTTCTTTTTTTTTTTTAAATATATTTATTGATTTTTTACAGAGAGGAAGAGAAAGAGAGAGAGCTAGAATCGTCGACCAGCCGCCTCTTGCACACCCTCTACCGGGGATGTGCCCGCAACCAACGTACATGCCCTTGACAGGAATCGAACCTGGGACCTTTCAGTCCGCAGACCAACGCTCTACCACTGAGCCAAACCGGTTTTGGTTCCTTTCTCTTCTTAACAGCTCAGTTTACACACTGACACATCTGCAAGTGTTATGGGTTAAACCGTATCCCAAAAAGAGATGTCCAAGTCCTAACCCAGAGCCTCGGAAGGCAGCCTTATTTGGAAACAGGGGCATCGCAGATGTGGCCAGTTAGGGCGAGGTCACACGGGGGGAGGGTGGCCCTGTGAGAAGATGTCAGACACCCACAGGAGGACCCACCTGGCAAAGGCAGCGACACATGTGCAGCTGCAAGTCCAGGAGCACCGATGATGGGTCAGCAAACCACACGACACTGGGAGAGTGGGAGCGGGGGAGCCTCGGGAAATGGGCCCCGCCCGCACCTGGCTTTCAGACTTCTAGTCTCCAGAGCAGCAAGACAAGCTTCTGTCCTTAAGCCAGGCAGTTTGTGGCTCTTCGTTATGACAGTCTGGAGGAAACCGGCCCAGCTAACTACCCACCTTTCCAAGGTTTCAAGGTTCTTAATACCTGAACTCAGGTGCTGGCGCCGGGCAGAGGGCCACGTATATTCTTTTTAAGGGAACCTGACCTCCATGGGCAGGACTAAGGCCATGGAAAGGAGAGAGTCTCACAAAGGAGTCTACGCTTCCGGTTGTAAAAGTATAAGAAATACTTCGAACACCAAGGACCGCGTAGGGACAGCGAGACGCCGGGACTCCCTCGGGGCAGCAGGAGAAGGGCCCCGTGTGGAGGGAGACCCAGCCTCTCTGGGCGCCCTGGGGGCGGACGGGCTAAGGCCTGGTGTTTGTCTGGGCCTTGCCGCCCACATACCTGGTGCACGCAGATGTTGCACTTGTCACAGAACACCATCTCGTTGCCGTCCTCGCCGTCCGGCGACTGGCAGACATCACACACGACGTCCTCGTCGTACTCGATGCCCAGGCCCTCCTCCGTCTCGATGGCGTGGTTCATGTTGTCGGAGCAGCGCTGCTCAAACTCCTCCAGCACCCTCTCCATGGTGCCCTCGTCCAGCTCCGGCATGCCTGCGGGGGCAGAGCCGCCTCAGTGACCCAGCCACCGGCGTCACCGGCACCCGTGTGTTTACACGTGCGAGTGACGGGCAGTGAATGCATAACGTAGTAAGTCAATCCATCCTGAGCGCCCCACACGTTTTCTGTTGCGTGCCCTCAGACCCTTCCACGAGAGACGCTGTGTCGTAAGTAGAAAACACGAGATAAACCCCAAAAGGGATCGAGGCTGTTCAAGGCACTGCCGTTCGATAGTTGTGTCATTGCGATGTTACACATCGACGACCAGGGGGTGACTTAGAAGCCCTGGCCGGACCCCGTGCTGTGGCCTGGGTGTTTGTCTGAAAACTTTCCTTAATTACTGCTTGTGACGGGGCCCTGACAGCAGGTTCCCCCGTGAGCACTGGATGCTCTTATCCGGTTCATCCCTCTCCACCCTCTGAACTGACTACACCGAGAGGCTCAGTGAATCAGACACACAAGCGGCCAAAACACAAGGACTGTGGGCAGCCCAGGAGACGGCTCGTTGTGAATCAAACTGCATTCTTAGGCAAGAAGGATCCAAAATACATCCCCAGTGGTTCTCGTGGTTAGGGCCAGTGGTGGGATGAGCCTTCTATTTTCTTCCACGTGTGGATATAGTCCAAACTTCCTACCATGAAAATACTCACGCAGACAGGAAAAAATAGGCTGCAAATGCTATTCAGACAGAACACTGAAGCAGCAAGAAACAACAGAAATGTCATTAGAGCCAACCACAACTTCTGTGCACTATTGCACGTTTAAAGCCATCAAATGAACACTTCTTGGGTTTTATGAAAATCTGAGAACCACCATGATAGAGCTGACGGTGTGATAAGCCCTAAACGCTTATTCAAAAAAAAAAAAAAGCACCTACCATCGCAAACCCTATTTAACTATGAGACAGTCTCTGCGCTGCTGGGTGCTCCCAGTATGCAGTTCTAACTATACCACTGGTTTTGAAAATACAATCCGATGCCCTGTAATTAATTCTCACCATTAAAAAGACCAATAAAAACATGTGTTCAGTAGCTGCCTATGTCCTGGGCACTTCCCTCCGACTGAGGAGTCAGCCGGGGCTTATCCCTGAACCACCTCAAAGGCACCAGTGCCTCTGGCTGTACAGGCCTAACGTGGGCCACCTGGTCAGGCAGGGGAACCTGGTCTCTACAAAACTGCTGTGAAGCAGGCGGTGGATGGAAGAAGCTGAAACAGATTCACCCCTGAGAAGACTCCCGGTGTTTTGCACCGAACTCAGACTAGACTTCACAGTCTTGCTCATCAGGACACCTCGAGAGACAGACCCTCAGCAATCAGGAGTGCAGAGGGCAAACCACAGGCCACCCGGACTCCACCTGGACCTGGAGATGCAGTGAGTGTGGCGCAGAAGCTCTGCTCTCACACAGCAAACGAGCAAACTCCAGGAAGAGCCGGCTGGGCGGACCTGGGCTTGGGAAGGGAGGGGCGGGGTGGGGCTCCAGAGAGGACAGTCCCTGAGGAAAGAGGCAGGCGCTCCAGCTCAGGAGCAGGACCTGGTGAGAAGGCATCACTGTGCTGCGGGGTCTGGAAGGGAGCCGGGCTGGAGGGCTGGAGTGGACTCAGCGGCGGGCCAGATGCAGCACTGGGAAAGGAGTGCTGGCCCTCTGTGGTCCAGGGACCATCACTTTGTTTCTCAGGCTTCCGTGCCCATGGGGTAAAGAAGATCAGGGCAGGGAAGGTCCCTGAGTCCATCTCAACCGACAGCGCTCGTTACAAACAGCAGCACGGGCCTCACCCATCTCCTTGAACTCCTCGTTGGTCAGCTCCAGCCACGCCGCGTCCATGTCGTTGAGGTCGTACCGACACACGCCATCGGCCAGCGCACGGATGTCCACGTAGCCCAGCTCCGGGGGCTCGGAGCCTGAGGAGACGATGTATTTCTTGGGCCTGATGAACATGAGGGACTTCTCTTCCGACACGACCCTAGTGAACAGCAAAGACGAGGCAGACGGGTCACCCTTCCTGCTGCAGGCCAGCCAGGCTGTGCCAAGGCCCCAGCGAAGTCTCTCCCTCCCCAGCCCCCACCCAGGCCATTGCCGGACTAACAGGCTTAAAGGCCTGGCGTCACTGCCAGTAAAACTAAGGAGCCCTAACTCCTTAGTTTTAGGGAAAGACATCCAGGTGCAAACCCTGAAGAAGTCTTCAAAACCTGCTCCTCCCACTCAGCTTCCCCGACACCCCGCCCCCCCCCCCCCAGCAGCAGGTGCTGTGGCCACTTAGGTGCCCAGCGTTGCCCATTCAATTCCTTTCCTGCAACTAGAACCACCCAGCCTGCTGGACGCCAAGCACTGGGTTCTCGAGAACATGGAGGAGCAAGAGCAGCCGCCGCTGATGCTGGGAACCAAGGGAAGCCTCTGTCTGACCTCAGCTACCACTCAGCGGCCCCAGAACCAGAGTGAGCCCAGCCGGGGACTCTCCCAACACTCCAGGACAAGAACCCACGCTCCCTCTCCTCCTTACCTCCCCTCTGCCCCCACCTAACACCTGAGGCAGTCTCATCCACCATGCTCCTCCCCCCATGGCACAAGAGATTGCAGACCCCCGGCTGGGAGCCCCCACAGCCCTCCATATCTGTTTAGCAGTTGGCAAGTTGTCCAAAGACTGTGTCAAGGTTTCGTCATCACCTTTATCATCACTAAAGTGATTTCATCTACAGGACATGGAGATGGGCTAACTAGACAGCTGTTTCTCCTACTCAACCAAGAGCAGCTTTTAGTCAGCTAAAAAGGTCCATTGGCTATATAACCGTTATGCTGGGCTCCCAAATGTCGTGAGCAAATTGGTGGAAAGTTCCTCGCTTGGGGGCTGCCAGGCTGGTGTGGTGCCCCAGGCGTGCACATTGGCAAACACGGTGCAAATGCAAGAGCCCCGCAACGGGCCCGCCCACAGGCCAGGAGCCCGCCTATGGAGGCCGCCAGGCCCACCAGCTACACCTGCAGACCTAGGCGGACATTTGTCGCAGAGATCCCGAAGAGCAAGGATCAAACTCGATCACTGCGGTGCCTGGAGAGACACCGGGTGGCTAGGGTGAGGGTGAGAGTGAGGGTGAGGGTGAGGGTGAGGTGAGGGTGAGGGTGAGGGTGAGGGTGAGGGTGAAGTGAGGGTGAGGGTGAGGGTGAGGGTGAGGTGAGGGTGAGGGTGAGGGTGAGGTGAGAGTGAGGGTGAGGTGAGGGTGAGGGTGAGGTTGAGGGTGAGGGTGAGGGTGAGGGTGAGGGGAGGGTGAGGGTGAGGGTGAGGGTGAGGTGAGGGTGAGGTGAGGGTGAGGGTGAGGGTGAGGTGAGGGTGAGGGTGAGGTGAGGGTGAGGGTGAGGGTGAGGGTGAGGGTGGGGTGAGGTGAGGGTGAGGGTGAGGGTGAGGGGAGGGTGAGGGTGAGGGTGAGGGTGAGGGTGAGGTGAGGGTGAGGTGAGGGTGAGGGTGAGGGTGAGGTGAGGGTGAGGGTGAGGTGAGGGTGAGGGTGAGGGTGAGGTGAGGGTGAGGGTGAGGTGAGGGTGAGGGTGAGGGTGAGGGTGAGGGTGAGGGTGGGGTGAGGTGAGGGTGAGGGTGAGGGTGAGGGGAGGGTGAGGGTGAGGGTGAGGGTGAGGGTGAGGTGAGGGTGAGGTGAGGGTGAGGGTGAGGGTGAGGTGAAGGTGAGGTGAGCTCCGTCCGTTCTGCGATGGTGAGGATGCAGAGCCCAGGTTGCTCCCTCCTCTCCCCACCAGCAGCCCAGGGTCGGGGGAGCTGATGAGAGGACAAGTGCAAACTGGCTGCAGCTTCTAGTGAAGCTGAGTCACTGAGGAACCTCAAGGGGAGAGTGGTTTGTGAGTCAATGGAGACAAAGCCCCACAAGAACTGGGCAAAGTCACCTAATCCATTCATCTCCCCAAACTCCCCTCCACACACCTAACCTGGCTACCCCACACCTGTCCTCCTCCAAAGGGGGAGTGGCCACCATGGGACCCAGGAAGCCACCTTTGCAGCATGAATGTGACCAGGGGTGGAAATGCAAGTTCAGGAAGAGGGACAGCCAGGGGTGCAAACATCCGAACCCCAGCCAGTCCTCCAAGCCACTGTCCTGTGGGCCTGACGTGGCCCTACGCCCCCGAGACCTCAGAGCTGAGGACCCGCCGCTCTCTCTGCACCGGGCTGAGGGGCACACAGGCTCCTTGGGGAGCGTCTACCTGGCCACGGGCTGCGGGATGGTCCCAGGGCTGACTGGCACCTGGACCCCCTTCTCCCACTCCTGTCTCCAGGGATCTGCCAGCACGTAGTACTCGTCGGGGTTCAGCTGGTAGGAGTCGTGCAGCTTCATGGCGGTGATCAGGTCTGTCCTAAACACCTGGAGAGGGAGAGACGGGGTCACGGACACTTGATATTTGCTTTCTTACTCAGAGCACTGGCAGCTGCAGGGTAATCATGGAGCTGCCCTGGAACAAGGTCAATGGATCAACAGAGAACCAGTCTGGCCTGTGACAGGAAGCCCTGAGCCTGCCGCACCCTGGCCTCGGGCTTGGTGGCTCCACGTCCACACGGCAGCTGCTGGAACAGCATCAGCGAGGCAGCTTCCCCGAACTCTCAGTTCAGGGAGAAGAGCGCTGGGGAAACCGTGGGCAGGTCCCGCAGGGAGGCGTGCTCTTGGTGGCGTTTAAGGACCAAAGCTCCACTGACCGTGTGGCAACTTCAAACCAAACCTGGAACCCGGAACCACCAGGGCCTCCCCTTCTGCACTCTGCCTCGCAGGCCCCACCGCAGGCCCCAGGGCATATAGCGGGCGTCTGGGAGGGCAGGACCCAGCTGGCCTGTGCCAGGCGCAGAGGAGACTGGGACAGAAGCAGTGACAGGCCTGGGAGCCGGGTCCGAGAAAGGGCCTCACAGCACGTGCACATGTGCACACCTTTCCCGGCACAACTGCAGTTTGTGCCGAGTGGGAGGAGGCAGGAGAGGGAGAGAGGGAAAGAAGACAAGCAAAGCCCTGCCCTCTCCTCTCCCTGCCAGAAACAGAGCCACAGAGTCCCCAAAGGACCCTCAGCCAAGACAGCTCCTCCAGCCTGAGTCGGCCCCGAGGGGACACACAAAGGCGTCCTGCAGGCCTGCTGCCCCGGCGGGGCCGGAGCCACCCCGTCTCCTCGTCCACGCCCGTCTCTGGGCGACAGCGCTGACCCTGGCACCAGAGCCGCCCTTGGCAGGAGCGGGCCTGCATCTGTAGGCCACGCTCTCTGTTTACACAGTCACAATGCCGGGCGCGCTCCCCCTGAGGAGGACAGGGGCTCTTTCTTGTGCTGCGGAGCGCGGCTCACATTCTCTCCCTGCGAATAGGGCCGTGTTTGTTTTTCCTGGTGGCTTTTCAAGCTGGTGATGGCTTTAATACACTTCGCCCCAGCCGAGTCTGAGGCAGTGTCTGAGCTCTCCCCAGCACGCCTCTCCCGCCCCAGGAACAGCGAGAACCCCGTGCAGGCCCCACAAAAGCACAGGAAGATCGACCTCCTTATAAGCACTGATCCCAAAGCAGGTGCCCCGCCAGGCCAGGGCCTCCCCGCCCCAAAGAAAAAGTCCTTTAAAACAAAGGATAGGTCCACAGCTTCAGGAAGAAAATCAGACTGAAAAGACATTCCAACCGAGTCCTGTAAGTGGAAAAATCAGGCGTGTTCCGAAAAAGGAGAATCAAACCGCAGTGAAAAAAATGGCAGCCCACCACCCTCTTACTCAGACAGGACGGGGATGCTCAGAACCAAAGCAGGTGCCCCCAGATGGGCATCCAGGTCCCTGGCAGAATTCAGCATCAGTGCTTCAGGTATAAAGATGTCTGAACTCAGAGAAATCTTAGAAAAAATCTGCAACAAAACATGGATCTGCACAAGGCAGAGTCCAGGTGCCCCGGGGGGGGGGAGGGTTTCCTAGCCCCCCATTCCAGCCCTGAAATCACAATAGTACAGAGGAGAGACAGCAGGGTGTTAACGGCAGCACAGGGAATTAAAAGAGGAGCAGGAGACCTGGCCACTCCAGAGCTACCAAAAGGGAAGCATGAATAAGCCTGGGTGGTAAAACTGCCACCTTCCCCAAGTTCAAGTGTCTCCTGGGGAGGTTCCTACAATTGCAAAGAATGAGCACTCCTTACTTCCTCTTAGAGAGGGAGTCTCTGCTACACTAACACAGCACCCCGCACACCCCATTCAGCCAGAGAAGCAGGCGGGCTGCAGGTGTGGCCATGGCCAGGCCGTCCGTGAGGTCACCCCGCCAAGAGGCAGAACCAGACTCTCCCCCTTATGACCTGCTCACGTGGACACTGGGATAAACCACGCCTTTTCTCCCAGGATGTCAGTGCCCGGAGGCCAGCAGAGGTTTTCAGAGGAAACCCCTCAGGGCTGGTAGGAGCCCCCAGTCGACAAAAGCCGGCAGAGAGATGCCCCAAAAGACAATCTTAAATAGAATGACAGGTGACAGCGAGACATAACGAAATGGGGAGCAGGAGAGACGTTAAGATGAGAAACAAACTGGAAAAGAAGGGGAAAGCCTCAAGCATAATCCCCCAAAACAAAACTCCCAGGACTGTATTGTTGTTGTCAAGTAAGCCACAGATCCATGGCAAACACGAACTTGAGGCTGGCAGTGAACGGCAGCCGCTGAACTCGCTTATGTCCTGGCCAGAAGGAAAGTTGTTGGGAGCCAGCAAACAGGGAAGAGAAAGGAAAAGAAGAATATAATCAATGATAATCATAGCTAACAGTGACTGAGCACTTTTTATGTATTTTGTATGTGTTGACCTCTGTGTAGTAACCCCTTAATCCTCACCATAGTCCTGAGTAGTAACCACCTATGATGTCTCCATCTTACAGAGTTGGAAACTGAGGCACAGAAAGGTGACACAACTTGCCCAAGTTTCACAGACAGACACAGTATCAGCCTCAGGGTTGTGTGTCATCACGTGTCCTCATGCACACGTGTCAGACATACGTCACGCCGGCATTAGGGAAATACCTCGGAAGGCTTCCGATCTTCATGTCTGGAGCAGGAACCTCTCCTGTGCTGGGACCGAGAATTCTGGGACCAGGTGGTGGACAGGCCTGAAGACACAAACATCCACAGAGGAATGATTAAGAGTGCAGAAATCACTGAGTGCTCAGTTTCATTTAACCAAACTCACCAGGCTCACCTCCACACCCCCCATGAGGCAGCCATGACGCTGGGCCGGAGCGCTGGACACTCAGAGCCCCGCCGCTCCCAGGGCTCACGCGCTAAGGCTCGCCCGGGCGGGACCCCCCGCACAGCACACAGGAGGACACAGGCTCTGGGCCAGAAGCCTGCACGTTTGAAGTTAAGAGGTTCAGGGTCTCCTGGTGCTAAATACCAACTGGGAAACTTCTTCCTGAGTTTTTAGGAAACGTTCTATATGCGAAGACTAAGATCTTTATGCCAAACCCTAAGGCCAACCTCAAAACTTAAAGCAAGAAGCGGTGGTGATTCTCTCCTGGTGCCCCCCTCCGTGCCTCTCCGCTCCCCAGGCCCAGGCCCAGGCCCAGGCCCTGCCCGGCTCGAGCAGATGGTGAGACCTGCACCTCACTCTCCTCCAGGTGCATGTTCACCTCGAATGGAGACATCACCTCAGAGCGCCCCAGAGCTGTCACCTCAGCGACACAAAACTGGACCCAACCTTTGATCCACACCTGTCCTCCCCGTCTATTCTTAACCTTGTGAGTATCACATTTCTACTTGAACTCAGAAATCTAAGCCACCCGAGGCCCTCCTCACTCAGGACAGGTAGAATTAATGGCAAAGTTGTATTGACTCACTGCCCATTGCCTCGGACTCCCAGTCAGCCCCCAATACCCCGACTGCCCATAACGTGCTGTATAGACACTGACTGCGGCCTCCTGTTTGTGGGTGCCCCACCTACAGTATGTCTCACCTCCACCCTGAACACATACCTACATTTCCCAGAAATTAACAGCCTCCCCCTCAAAAGCCCAAACCAGAGGGAACTGCCATTCTACTGTCACTCAAACTGGAAGCTCTTATCTCTACAGATCCCAGAGATAAAGGACAGAACCTAGTGCCCATTAGACCGTGGGGACACTAACAGATAGAATCTGCACATAAGCCTATCATCGGATTTGCGATGACGGAGACTGAAGGGGATCTAAGGCCAGGCTTCCCTCTGGCACCACCCACACTCATCAGTTCTGAGGTCTGTAAATGGGGCGACTGTTAGGACAGCAGAATCAGACCTCCTACAGGTCGCCCGTGTAGCCACGCTCAGTAAAGCGTCTAGAAAATGATTTTTTAAGAAACAGGGAACGTGAACTAGAAATGTTTCACACCCATAGAGAAAGAAATATTCTGGGCCCCTGGGGTGAGCCCAACGTACAGAAGTTTCAAATCCTGTCATCACTGGAAAAAGCAAAGACAGAAGCCAAGTTAGGAACCTGGAGAGGAAGGTGGTGAGTGGCTCATGCCTTAGGCCTCTCTCACCCTGGGGTCCTGCAGGCCCCTCGGCCGGCTCAGGGCTAAAAGGAGACAGGGGACCAGCCAGCAACTCCAGGTGGTGCCGACGATCTTAGGTCTCAGGAGGGAAAGAGAGGTTGGGGCAGGAAGGCACGATCCTTTCCTCCCAGTTACTCTGGAAGGGTTATAATGAAAAGGAACAAACCCAGAAATTTAACAAGGACCATGCATTCCACTGCTATCCTGTAAACCTCACATGGGGTGGAGGGAGGCGAGTCCGTCCTTTCAGAGCTAAGCAGAAGCCACACTCCTGTCATGAGTGGGCTGGGGACCTTGTTGCCTTTTCTTGGGCATCTGTCAGCATCCCTCCAGCGTAGTTTCCAAGGTCCCCAGGAGCCTGTAGCCTTGCTGGCATGGAACCACCGAAGTAGTGACGGTCATACAGAAACTGCCGCTTCTCTATCCTTGAGCACAGGATGTGCTGTCTGCACCACACTCACTTTGTAAAACAGAGAACCGAAGGCGCTGCAGACCTGGCACCTGACAGTAATACTACCCGAGAGAAACACCGGTCCACCCAGAAGCGGTCCATTCCTCTTCCTTTTAATGGACGTGATGCGCAAGACGGGAGAGAAGTAAAAGTTAATCCTGTTAAACCCACTTTATAGAAAGTGAGGCTGGGGGAGGGCGCTAAGTTTCAATTATCACTGATGTGAAAAATGTCCTTAGCGTAATTATAAAGGCCAAAACCCAGAAACTTGATTATGGGCCAACAGACGACATGGATACACAACGGTGATATATCCACAGTGGAACAGGACCCTGCACCAAGAAAGGAGCTTCTGAGGCAGGCCATGTGGACAATGTTGGAATAACTACGTGGAGAGAAGGAAACCAGACAGTCTGTAGCGTGTTACTGCACTTACAGAAAACTCTGAAAAATTACACTTATCTCCAGCGACAGAAAGTGGATCATCTGATGAAGGGAAAGGTGGGAGGGAAGAAAGTCCTTGAGTTTTGAGGCTGTAAACATGTCAGAACTTATCAGCGTATCCACTTGTAACGTGGGCAGGAGATACCGGAGGGTTTCCTATCACCCACTAACAACAAGAAGGAAATGCTCCCTTCTACTTGGCAGGCAGCTGCATACACCCGAGACTCTGCAGCCCACCAGTAGGGCGGGCCAGCAGGCCCTGTTGCTGGTGGTCTCTTCCTCCGGACCTCTGTGACCCAGCAGATCCTCAGTAAGTGTGTTTAAAACTGGACAAGAACGTGGTGTCGTTGTTCAGGACTGTCTTACTCAGCGAGAACCATCCCTGTCACTTCTGAACTGAAGGCACTGGCACCGAGAACACACTTCCGTTTTGCCTATCAGAAGTTAGGTTTGAGTTCAAGGAAAATTAAGCAATGGCAGCCTGGTGGGGCCACTGCCTCTGGGTCAGAATGCAGTGACATCCACAGGTCCCCTGGAGCCCACAGTGGAGAGGGTCCCGACGTCCCTGCCCAGTCCTCCTCCCTCAGCCAGGCTCTCTCCAGACGGCTCTCAGAGGGTCAAGAAGCTCCCAGAATATGATCCAAACAAAAATAATTTGCATCCCTTTGTAATTAGGGGGGGGGGGTGGAGGGACGGGGACAAAACAAAACAAAACAAAAAAACCTAGATAATGCTGAATGGGAAAAATTGTGAAACCAGAAATGAGAGTATTCCAAACCTTGAAAGACAAAGGCTTATCTCAGCAAACACTTGCCACTGGCTAGTTCTCAGAAACGGTGTGTTGAGGCCACACTGGGTGGGGCCCCGCTCTGCTTTGTTCTGAGGGCTAACATTTAAAGGCAGACCAAATTTAAGAATGTGACAAGTAAGACTTTGTTTTATTTTCTTTTTGTTTTCAGGAGGAGCTGGGAACTCTCATCTGGTGATGAATGTGATTATTTTATTGACCACACTCAAGAGAGTACCTGAAGCTAAGTCCACTCCGTGACAAATGTAAGCAATTTGAGAAATTCTTATGCTGTTAGAGTAATAATATTGTATATTAAATACTGTAAATGATATAAGTAAAAAATGTCTTGTTTTAATATCCCCACCTCCTATTAAAAAGTTACAAAGGTGGCAATACCGTGGGCACAGATCCTGTGGGCACCAGCTTTCTGATAGTGCAAGTGTGCTCCTTTGAAATATTAAAAATAGCCACACTGAGTTGCCCTAGATCTCAAATAAGGAAAAAAAAAAACTCAAGAATAAACCTAATACATGCTGCACATGACTTTCGCACACAGCAGCTCATGTGTGGTGCGCCTCCCAGGCCGTGCATTGCATGGAAGGTTCAGAAATTATAGAATGAATGGTGGCCTGGGTGTTCACACCACAAAATGCAAATGACAGAAGAACCTCGCCTTGGACCCAGTGGTGCGTCTCCTTGTGTCTCGGACCCTGTGTCTCAGTCCCTGTGTCCGGCACTAGCAAACAAGATGCTGGTGTCTCCAATCCGTTAAGCCAGCTTAACAAGGTAAGACGCTTAGGACTGGCAAGCATGAAGTCCAGTGGCCGGCCGGCATCAGCGGACAGTGCAGACCCGAGAGGCCCCATGCGTCACTTCCAGGGAAGGCCAGCCTAGCCCTGTGCAAGTCAGTCAGAGCCATGGCCATCCCTATCGGAACGTTAGCTGAGCTAATGTAGTCACTGGCTGTTCACTGTAAGGGATGACAGGAGGCAGCCTCGGATACAACCGACGTTTCTATCAGGGGCTGACCCGATGCCACCCCAGCTCTTCCTTCCCAGCACAGCTCAGCTCCATCCTCCAAGTCACTGCCACCTTCCAAAACAAGTAGCGTAACACATACATTCAGAGAATTGGCCCAGGCATGTTCCGACATACTTAGTGCCCTGGGTTCTTCAACCAACCGGCACACACGATTGTCTCCCAGCCCCCCGTCCTCCTGCTGAGGTCCCAGCCCCAGGGCCACAGAGGTTAGTCCATGCACAGGACCCTTTGTACCAGTGGCTCCTTGAACCCAAGCTATTATCCTTTTCATCAATGTCAAAGTCAAGCCACAAGTTGGGTTTGAAAAGGGGCAAAGCCACCTATGGGCCTTGAGGAGACATGGGTACAAGTATACACTCTGCCTGACCTCAAGCCAAAATTCCCACATTTCCAACTGAACTATGCAACTCCTGTGGAAAAGGAGCAAACTAAAGGTACAGTCACCCAGGAGCAGAACTGAGACCGAGTGCACCTTCACACAGAAGAGAAACCACCGAAGAAGACGTGTGTAGGGGTGACCAAGCACAGCCGGCCAAACACAGAAAATGAAGACAAGCTATCTAAAACTCGATGGGAATCCATCAAGTGCAGCGATACAGGAAGTATGTTTCCTCCGCTACAAGTGACGGTGCCTTCACTGCCGCCTGTGAGCTGGAGGGAGCCCAGGAGGACACCCCCACACGGCGTCATGCTTGCCAGCCATCGGCCTGCATCACCAGCGGCAACACTAGTCAGTGTGAGTCTGACTCAGCCGTCTTCTCTGCCCATTTGTGTGACAGGAGGTGGAGCCGAGATCAGCGGCAGGACTGGACAGGACAGGAGTGTGTCCCAGCAGCACAGGTGTGGACCCCGGGCGGCGCCCGGCTCCAGACCCCAGCCACGCCCGGCTTTCCTTGGGGAGGTGGACCCAGCCCTGAGACGGAGGACGTCAGACAGAAAAAGGAAGCCTCGCTTCACAATTTTAGGAAAAACTCTGACCTATCAGCACACTTCTTCTCTCTTCGTGGAAAATAAAAGAACCAATTTCATTTCCCTCTGGGTCTCTGAGAGAGAGGCACATTTTAAAACAACCAAAACACACACACACAAAAAAAAAAACAACCCAAAAACCACCACTTACACTTGGCTCCCTTCTCCTGGCCAAAGCCTCCACGTGTTTAAAAAATTGGCCAAAATGGCCGAAACCGGTTTGGCTCAGTGGATAGAGCGTCGGCTTGGGGACTGAAAGGTCCCGGGTTCGATTCCGGTCAAGGGCATGTACCTTGGTTGCGGGCACATCCCCAGTGGGGGGTGTGCAAGAGGCAGCTGATCGATGATTCTCTCTCACTGATGTTTCTAACTCTCTATCCCTCTCTCTTCCTCTCTGTAAAAAATCAATAAAATATATTTAAGAAATAAAAATAAATTTTAAAAAATTGGCCAAATGAACAGTCTTCTTTATGTTCTACTATTTAATTCTTGTCTTACTTTTACATGAAAAAAAAAAAAAAAATGAGGATGCTGATCAGAGCTGTTAACTGGCCTGAGATAATCAGCAACACCTGATTCCTGCCAAAACCAGAACACGATGTCTTAATGAGCCTCTGCAGCTTTATTACCGATCAGAGATCGCCTTTAGGTTCTGGAAATGCTGAAACTAGCTGGTGGCTCCCATTTGCACATTGGCAGAAACCCCTCAGGGCTGAGGATCCCAGGCAGGGGAGTGGGAAAGGAAGGGCCCATTTTCCCTGGCCACCCTCTGGCACCAAGCACAGCTTCAGAGGCTGGCAGGGCCACCCGGTCCCGGGAGCCCAGCAATTACAGGCACAGCCTGAAAAACACCGCAACGCCGCTCCGGCCAAGAGCAGGGCTGGCCCCGCGGGGCACCTGGAGAGGCTCCGGCAGCTGGAGGGAGGCCCGCACTGGCACGGAGCATGCCCGTCCACTCCCCGCGGTGAATACCACTCTGCGGCTCCCTGACCCCCTCCTGCCCGAGGCCAGCGGCGAGGTGTGGCTGCGGCTGGCGCTGCGGCCCCACGCCGACGTCAGCGGCTCCCTCTCCTCCACTTGGACACGCTCTGCACTGGGTGGGCGCTGCTGCCCGAACCCTGTCAGGGCTGCAGGCTGGAGAGCGGCCACTGCAGGCCCAGCCCTCCTTGCAAGCAGCCCTTCTTCCAAGCGCCCAGATCCGCTGGGGCCGGCGCGGGCCTGGGGACCTGGCTGCAGTGGCAGAAGGCACCTCACTGCACAAAAGGACGGGCGGCCCCAGGGCAGGCAGCTCTCGTGCACAGGGCAGTGGTCAGCCAACGGGGGCTCGAGAGCCACATGCGGCTTGAGAGCCGAGGTTTGCCGCTCTGTTGACTAATGAGTTTGCCGACCACTGACCCAGACTCTCGATTCCAATAATTACAGGCTGTTGTTGTTCCTGGTGATTAAGCCCCTATCCCAGTGGTCAGCAAACTCATTCGTCAACAGAGCAGCAAACCTCGGCTCTCGAGCCACATTTGTCTCGCGAGCCCCCGTTTGCCGACCACTGCCCTCGGAGAAGTTGGGAAGGGGTGGCTCCGTGGGTGGCGTGCCTATTTCCTAAGGCTGGGCATGCCAGGGTTCTCACCACTGCCATCAGGCACCGTAACTGCCCTACACAAGGCCTGAATGGACAGCACGGCTGTGAGGCATCAGCGCCTGCTTTACACCAACTACGAAGACCTGCCACCACCTCCCAGCAGCCACTGTCCTGCCACGTCTAGTCCTGTCCAGCCCGACTCCTGGCCGGAGCAGCCTGCGGTGTCTCCAGCTTGGTCGTGTCTCTGGTTAACCCCCAGGACCCTCTGAACTCCGACCTGAACCCTCTGCCCCCCACATGGCTATGAGCGCATCAGGAGGAGGAGAAAGGTAGCCCGTCCCCGGAAAGGTGACTTCTGATGGGCACACTGTCAGTGGGGCTTCGGCCGCCGCCGCCTCCATGTTTAACCGGAGTTTGGGAGGGGGAGGGCTGCGTGTTTAGATGAAGGATGCGGTCTTCAGTTATGGGCTGAACCGGGTCCCCGGCATTCCCTCAGAATGGGATGTATTTGGAGATGGGGCCTTAACGGGGTGACTCAGTGAAATGAGGTCTACGGGTGCCCCTGGCCCAAGCTCGCTGGTGTCCCCTGGAGAAGAGAACACGGGGGCACACGGACACAGGGGCGCCCACGCACAGAGGGCCATGTGAGGACACGCGAGACGGCAGCCGCCTGCACGCCAAGGAGCGGCCTCGGAGAGAAAGTCAACCTGTCCACACCTTGACCTTGGATTTCTGGCCTCCAGGACCGTGAGAAAATAAGCCCCTGTTGTTCAAGCCCAGCCTGAGCTGTGGTTTCTGCGGTGCAGAGGGCCCCCGCCCAGGGCTGCACTGTCCGATACGGACACCGCCAGACACGAGAGGCTTTTCAAATTGAAATTAATTGAAATTACATAAAATTTAAAAATTAACTTCCTGAGTTACACTGGATTAAGAACGTTTCCATCCAATTGGGCAGCTGGAGTCCAGAGAGGGGAGGGTCTAGTTCTGGGGGAACATTCCAGAACCTCTGCGCGCCGGGCTGTCCTGGGGGAGCTGAGGCGGTGACGGGGACGGAGTGAGCAGGAACCTGCTGCCCACAGGACGCGGACACAGCGCTCAGCCTTCCACCCGCACAGCTGGGTGGGGGCTGCCGGTGAAACCTTCCTCCGATTCACTGTAACCAGCGAGCAGATTTTTAAAACTGCTGCAGGACTGACGCGTGTCCTCCACCAGCATTTACTGAGCTCTTGTAAGTTCCGAGGACCCTTTGATGGGCACCACGGGAAGCAGACAAAATTACCTAAGCATGTTTCTGCCTCAAAGAGCTAAGAGCCAAGCAAACGCCACACAGGCAGTGCGGGCCGGGCCGGGAGGCTCAGAAGGCACCGTGCAGGCCGGACAGGTGGCTTACCGCCTGCGCCCGGGCCAGGCCCTCGGGAGCTCTCCCCGAAATGAAGGAAAGCCCTCTCTCTGGAGCCCGCCTCCCGGTTTTCCTTTCCTTCTCACTCACTCCTCCCGGAGCCAAACAGCAGCGTCCCCCCGAGTGCCAATCCCTCAGCTGCTTCCTGATCTGGTCACGGCTAAACTTACCCGGGCCCCCAAATCCGACCCCCTCCCGCAGCCACCAACGCTGCTTCCCACTGCCCCACGCCGGGACCAGAGTGCCAGCCAAATCGGGTGTGTAAGACGTCTGTATGTTCCTCGGCCCTCCCCCCACGTTCCCTGTGGCTATCAGTGCAGCCGCCCTGGCGGCAAAGCCCTGCTTTCTAACGTGCAGCTTTTAATCTACGGAAAACTGGGAGAAAGAAAACCAAAACGATCCTGTTCGCCTAAAAATTATCCCATCGTTCTACCTCCATCTCCTCCCTGACCCCCTGCCCTCCCAACCTCCATCACCTCCCCGGGCCCCTGCCCCCCCAGCAACCTCCATCTCTTCCCCATGTCCTCTTGGCCCCCCAACCTCCATCACCTCTCCATGTCCCCTTGCCTCCCAACCTCCATCACCTCCCCGGGCCTCTGCCCTCCCAACCTCCATCTCCTCCCCGGGCCCCTGCCCTCCCAACCTCCATCACCTCTCCATGTCCCCTTGCCTCCCAACCTCCATCACCTCCCCGGGCCTCTGCCCTCCCAACCTCCATCTCCTCCCCGGGCCCCTGCCCTCCCAACCTCCATCACCTCTCCATGTCCCCTTGCCTCCCAACCTCCATCACCTCCCCGGGCCTCTGCCCTCCCAACCTCCATCTCCTCCCCGGGCCTCTGCCCTCCCAACCTCCATCACCTCTCCATGTCCCCTTGCCTCCCAACCTCCATCACCTCTCCATGTCCCCTTGCCTCCCAACCTCCATCACCTCTCCATGTCCCCTTGCCTCCCAACCTCCATCTCCTCCCCGGGCCCCTGCCCTCCCAACCTCCATCACCTCCCCATGTTCCCTTGGCCCCCCACTTCTGTGAACCGTGCCTGTGTCACCGTTTGCATAGGGCACCAGTGATATCTCTACCACGGCCCAAGATGCCGTCTGTCTATAGAGCTGGAGTCTACATACCCCTGACTCAGCACGCTGGCCCCATGCCTCTGCCCTCACACAGGAAAGCAAGTGCTCTCTCTGGGTTCTCCGAGGGTCATCTCTAATGCAGAACACCTGCTGGCGGGCTGGAGCTCAGGCTCGGTGCTAGGGACAAAACCTGCTCAGCACACAGACGCGGTGTGGCATTTATTTTGGCTGCCTGGAAGCCAACTAACTTCCGGTTCTCAGCTGCACTGTGAAAACTGCCAGGAGGCTGCCAGCGGGCTGCGGTGCGGCGGCAGCGGCATCACATACAGTCGGTCACTCCGGGGAGGGCCCCACTCCCCCCTCTGCAGACCCGCACTGAGCATGTCACTCCCCGCCGGGCAGGCCTCGGTCTCCCTCCCTATCGGGTGGAGCTCATTAATAATTAACTGGCTTCGGTTAGGTTCCCTTCTCCTAAAGGGCCACGTGAAGTGCCGTCAGTGATGTTCAGGAGGAGCACACCGGCCAGTGACTCCTGGAACTGGCTTCCTCGTCCTGGGGTGTCAGACAGGAACCTGAGGAGCGCCCGCGCAGCCACGTCACGGGGAGCTGTGGCTACAGGCCTGCAGCATCACGCCAGGTGCTTGGCCAGGCCTGGGCGTTCGGAGACCTGCCCGACAGGCAAGACCTGCCTGGGAGGCCCAGGGCCTCGGCTATTTTTAAAGCATTCCATTTTTAAAAAAACACCCATGTTTCTGCCCCAAACCCTGGTGGGCTCCGAGAACAACAGAGCAGGACTCACTGCCATTGTCGTCAGAATCCTCACTGCTGCTGGGAAGGCGACCTCGTTTCATGATCTCCCCGGGAAACAGCAGGCGGCCTGCAAAGCAATGAGACAGCACTTAACCCGAGATGATAAGACACAATCATCAAGTTGTGCTTCAGAAGGCAGCCAGGATTTACAGCACACAAAAGCAAACAATCGGCTCTAAGGAGCGTCTGAACGGTAACCGGCGAAAAGCCCAAAGATACATAATCAGGTGCAATCATTAACCGAGCAGGTTCAGGGCTGAGGGGGGAGGGCAGGGGAGTCACGTAGCAGGAGTCTCCCCGAGGTGCCGGGCTCCTCGCTCATCCCTGTGACAGCATGGCAACTACTCCAGGAGCCTCTTCAGCTGGCAGTGGCAAGCGCTGCAGGAAAAACCCAGGCAACCAACGACCACGGTGCTTCCTCTGCAGACAGGCTCCTGTCTCTGGGAGGGGGGCGGTGTGCCGGAATGTGTGAATATTTACACTGCACTGGGCATGATTATGCTTCTCAGGCATATTTCACTGAAACAGCCCTAAAAACCGAATAACCTAGATTCCGGGGAAGACAAATGGGGAGGTGGGACTGCAGAAGCCTCCCACAGCCACCTCCAACCCCCAGCGGTGCACAGCTGGGACAGGAAGGGACCGGAGAGCCACAGGATTCTGATTCGAGCCCTCTCCTGACACATTAGGAAACTGAAGCGAAAAATAAATAAAAATAAACAAGGTCGCTCTGTGGGTGGGGAGCTCCTAATCCAGGGCATTTTCACTACACGTCACCCCAGCTCCTTCCAGGAGGTCCAGGAGTCCAGCCTCACGCAGCACACTAAGAAATCGGCTGCACAGACACCCAGCCCACTGTGCCAGCTCCTTGGAGACACAGGTGATGACAGGCCTCAGCCCCATCCGGTAAGAGGCAGGCTGCATTTAGGAGAAAGGGCCATGGATGGAGCCTCAATGGCTGGTCACTGAACTTAGATGGACTCACAGGGCAACTATCGAAAAACTTTCCCAAACTACAATGATTGATCACCTTGATGTATCTTTGGGGCCCTGGTCTTACTGCAGATCAATGATTTGCAGGAAGGGAGGAGGGCTTTTGAGTCACAGGGAACCACAGCAACAGAATGTGGTGTGAACAGGCGTGTGGCCACAGATGTATGGAGAACTATCATGCTAGTACAAGACCCAAGAGGAAAACCTAGAGCTCTTCTCCAAACGGACCTGTAAAACAAGCAGAGCCCTAACCAGGTTTGGCTCCTGGATCGAGCGTCGGCCTTCAGACTGAAAGGTCCCAGGATCGATTCAGGTCAAGGGCATGTACCTTAGTTTCAGGCACATCCCCAGTGGGAGGTGTGCAGGAGGCAGCTAGCTCATTGATATTTCTCTCTCATCGATGTTTCTGACTCTCTATGCCTCTTCCTTCCTCTCTGTAAAAAAAAAAAAAAAAAAAGAATATATATTTTTTTAAAGCAGTAATGATCCCAGGATGGCCATTCCCACCTGCAAAATAGACCTATGCTATTCACACGAATATTCAGACCCCTAATCTCTAATTCCAATATTTTATATTTTCTTTCTGAGACACCACCACAGTTAGAATGTGTGGATATTTGTTTGCCAATGGATTCTTCAAAAAACACTGAAAGAATTTACAGAGCCAGGACATGAGTCCTGATCTGGGTCATGAGCTGTCTTATGGGCCAGAGTTTCCCTTGCAGAGCCCCAATCACCCGTAACTACCACCCAGCTGCCTACAGCTGGGCCTGGGGCAGACCCACAAACACCTGCGGCCACTCCCCCTGAAATGCTCACCTTCTGGCCCTGTCACCACGTACACTGAGTGCTCACAGGGACACCCTGCTCCCCTCTGGGCCCCACAGGAGGCAGTACAGGGAGGAAAGGGAGAGAAAGGAGCACTCATCCCAAAAGCTGCAGCTCCCAGAGTCTAATTATAAGCGAGTTTAAAAAGAAAAGAAAAGAAAAAAAAAAACAACAACTAGAAAGTGCTACCTAAAGAGGAATTCCTTAAAGTAACAGTGTGAAGCAGCAGGACACACCGGGAGCTGGTGTAGAACTGTGGAGAGGAGGAGTGGGAGGCTGAGAAAGCCTCTCCAGCCACCCAGCGACAAACAGAAAAACAAAGGCTGATTACACATCATTGATGCAGACAACTTAAATGTACCTGCATAGGAGAACACGGAGAGTTTTTGCATCAAAATGCCTTCCTCCTCTCAAACCAGGGGAAGCACTTACTGAACAGTCACTTACTGAAAAATGCAAGCACCGCCCAAAAGCATTGCCACTCTTCTCCTAAACACACATCAACACTCTCAAGCAAGATGATGCAAAGTAAAGAGTGAAAATAGTACTTTTCTTCTAATGAATTCCATTTTCATTTGCCCTGGAAGATGTTGAGTGATGGAGCTGAGATCACTGTAATGTGCTTCTGTAGGAACCCCGAGAGGTGACTGGGTGAGTGCTGGGCACAGTTTCCTCCTCACTGGCTCTGGTGTACTTACACACTGACATCAGGCTGCTGTATCTCACCTGGGGCTACTTACGACATCAAGAAGTCAAAATACACGTAACGATCTTTAGGAAACTCGGTACAGTTGTTGAATAAGAGCCGTGCAATAAGAGCCGGTGAGAGGGAGCAGAGGGCCCCTGCACCACTACCTTGCTGCCTCTTTCAGGACAATGGCTATTATCTGGACGGTAATAATTTAAGCAATAATCAATCACAGGGTTACTCTCAACACTGCGGAGAGAGCTGCAAGAGGATGGCCACAAGCACATGAAGCTCTGGGCTGTCAGGAGGCATGAGAAGAAAGCGAGCATCCTGACCGCGGGCAGCGCCGGTGCAGCTGAGGAGAGGCACGGCCACAGGGGCTCAGGATGGTCAGTGCCCGGCAGTGGTCAGCACACGCTGTGGGACAGAGGCTGATGGAGTCGGGAAGGATTCTGAGCAAGGTCAGGGAGAACAAAGAGGAGGGAACTGGAAGAGGAAGCACATTTTGGGCAAAGCACTACCGTATCTAACAACATGTATCCAACCTAGCCTATCACTCTGAGCAGCCTCTTTGCACTAAGGACCTTACTATTTCTATACTAATACACATCCCTTCTTATCCTGTGCTCCATTGCCAAAGCTCGTTGATTCACAATGTATGAATTCTTCTAGTCCACTGCCCCAGAGGTCTGTCATCAACCACCTATACCTACATTGCTGAAAGCACCACCCTTCCATTCTTAGTGTCTACAGTTTCTTACCCTTTCCAACTATTCTAAACTAATCCTCCCTCTGAGGTGACCTCACCGAGCCGTGCTCCAAGCCAACCTCTCTCCCTTTGCTCCACAATGCAAACAGGTCCAGGCAGAACACTGAGGTCTCCTGCCACCTGGCCCTTCGGCCCTGCGCAAGCCTCTCTCCCAGCTTGACCAGCTTACCTCGGCTGGGCCAGGCCTCTGCCCTGGAGACACCTCCTCCGCTGCCTCTGCTAAGGCGGTTCCTCTGCCCTCTTCTCCTCACCTACCCGCTGTAGAGAGGGACATGCCAAGCAGGGAGGTGTGGTGGCTGCTCTGAGCAGCCACCTGCTCAGGAAGCAGGCTCCTCCCCTCACTGGCCCAAGCCTCAATATTACATGCAGATCACTCTCTTTCAGTCTCTTCTGTCACTCAGTTAAAATGCAGTGGTGGATCAACTAATATTAATCCAATTAAACGTGCGTGGAGTTTGATGCCAGAGACACAGTGAAGATGCGGATGGACGCAGCAAGCACACGACTAGACCAGCAGCTTCAATGTGGCCACTGCTACAGGTTACCGGATTACCGCTGATTGGCTTTGGTGGGACATGGAACCTGTCCATTGGATAGCAATGTACCTGACAACCTTGAAATTGGTTTCCTCTGTGGAAGGAGGAGAGAGACACCAGTACTAAGAGCAGCCATTAGCTGCAAGAACCATCCTGAAGGTGGTTCAGGAATGTGTAAGGGAACAAGTTCAGTGACCAGGGTGCGGTCCCAGGAAGGCATGACTGGTATGTGACTCCAAGAAAGAATGAGAAATGAACTCACAGGGACAAGGAGAGGAGGGCTTTCACAAAAGAATTAAGATGATTAAGATTTTGAGGATGTTTATTCAACGCTTTTCCTGGGAAAGAGGGACCCATCTGAAGAAAACAAACTTGTCCAGTTACCAAAATTTCTGTGGTTGAACAGGGACCACTTATCCGGCCATAAACTCTACAGCTGTAAAAAGAATTATACCCTGGTGATTTTAATTATCTTATGGCTCATACTCAGAAAGGCTAGCTTCTTCCTCAAAATATCAATTTTATCTACTGTTTCCATTCTTATTTATTTCACTCTCAAGAAGTCCAAGAAGGTTCTGTTCAAGACCCCTTATATTTCTGGATTATCCCCAAATGCGGCGCTGGGCATCACAGTGACCTTTGGATGGACGACTGGATTCCCGTTCGTGAACTGTATCCAATGCTCACAGGCTTTATGGAATGTGAGAAGCTTTCACTTTAATATCTAATTGACCTTTAACTGGAGTAACTTCCATTAAATTACTTCTAAATTTATTGGTGTCCTTCCATGCTTTGTGAAAGTTAATCTAATACCTAAATGTGGTAGATTCAGCCCTGCTTGTGTTGCTCAGTGGTTAAGCGTTGACCTATACACCAGGAGGTCACCATGCCATTCCCCATCAGGGCACAAGCCCAGGTTGCAAGAGGCAGCTGATCAATGATTATTTCTCATCATCGTTGTTTCTATCTCTCTCTCCCTCTTTGAAATCAATAAAAACGTGTTTTAAGAGCAGTATTTAAAAATGTATTTAGAAAATGTATAATATAAAAATGTTAAAGAATATATTTTCGGTCACCAAGGGGGGTCTTACACATAAAGTATTTTGTAATGAACTCCTCCTTTCTGTTTGTTTTCTAAGTTCACACAATTTGAATATGGTACTATCTTTAAATACCATGTAATTGGTAATTTGATTCCTAAATTGTTGATCATAACATATCCACCCCAATGAAAAAAATATTTACATTTTCTT